TTTTACCCGTATTCTGAAATTCTTAGATGGAATTTTTCCAACTTTCCGGGCTTACTTAGTGCCGGAAGCTCTTCTAAGTCGGCGGATGCGTTTGCGAATTGTTTGGCAAGCCTTTCAAAATTGTGGCTAAGATAAAGGGTGTAAAATGTGGCTTCTTCGTTGTCAGGAACATAAGGTGACCGTTGATATGGCTTCAGAAATATACGTTAGAATAATATAGCCACTCGATGAAACTGCACCGCTGTTAGACCTGACCGCTGATTGTCCTTGCTGGGCAGCGCACACGTTACATAATATTATATCAAGCAGCGTTTTTACTTCCGACTTGACTTCTGTTCATCATTACTACATCCGTTTTTGTATTTCGTTCCGTTTGTGACTTCTGCTATCATTAGTATGCTCATTAAATGTAGTGTACATAACAATGATAGAAATTTTTCGGTAATCAAGACGACACCTCGGTGTGACGGTTATTGCAAGCCGTGAGTACAAGCGGTCGATATGCGGGTCCGTTTTCCCTTTTTATGCCCAGTGGCGGTAACCGAAAAGCAAATACCATGATCATCGTAGGCGGTGGTGTACATGGCGTCATGTCATGGCTCCACGTGCCTTGTATATAGCGGATGACAGTGAGCGACGGACGGACACTGGCGGTACATGTGGTGTGAGTATAAACGGCCACGGCGCATGTGTGCATTCGTTAACAAATACCACTGCCCACATATGCATTTAGTGGCGGTGACCGACGGACGGACACCACATTTTCCATCATTTCTGAACATAGAAGACCTTCGCTACGCTTCGGTCGACAAGCTTCGGCAATAATTCGATCATGACTACCTCGAATACTGATATGAAAATTTGAAGTGGGTTTCATTTGCAGATGATCTTTCTGGCCTCGACGCGGACAGAATTGAGTGAATGTTTTGTTGCTAACGTTGTAAACAAACTTTCTAGGATAAGCGGATGATTTTTTCAGGTCAATATGACTTCGCCGTGGGGCGTGATGCTGCGGTACCGGCCGCTGTTAGCCGATGCCAACCAGATGGACTACCAGAACACGGTTGCTGTTCGGAACGCTGACGACACGTGGTGGCTGGGATACATCCAAGACATTAACGGCGACCAGGCCCTCATTCACTTTGACTCCACAAAGGTCACGGCGAGGTGGATCCACATGGGAAGTGTCTGGCTGCTGCCGTTCTACTGGGAGACTGACATATATCGCTTCAACTATAAGATCAGGGAATTACAACTACAACTACAAGTGGCACTGCGTGATGAAGACGGCGGACCGTTTCGCTTTCGACCCGCCACAATGCTGCATATATCCAAGAGTTGCAAAGACTCCTGTGAAATGTTCATTATCACAACGGAACTGGTTGATTCAACTGGCAACGACCGTGCTCTCATCACTTGCTCGGAAGTGGTGCATAAAGGTCAAGTTGCCGCTTACTGGCCGCCACCGGATCCGCCGTTACTGGAGCGTCATACCGGCCGGATTTACATTAAACACTTCATTCCTTTTCCCGGGGCGCAAACGATTCTCAGCGAAGCATCCGACAAATTCCGCATAATAAAACATATGCGCGATGCTTTCAGACCGCCACCCGCACCCATCTGGCCGCGTACGCCTGATCGCTGTCGATTTCACTTAAGCGTGGTGTGGGAAGGTTGTATGTTTGTTATCGTGAGTGACGCGGAAACTGTCCAGGCGACGGAGGCCACGTTGACGAAGGTACTGCAGAATCATTTAGCCAGCCGGGCAAGCCTGCCGTCCATTCGAAATCGTTTGGTCCTCGTACATGAAACCGGTTAGTAGCTTAGCACTGTATGACAGTTTATGGTGGTTAATTTGATAGTGGACTTCGGGTGCGAAAAAAAATTTGGTCCTGTTTGTGCTTCTGCTTGTGCAGCATTAAGCATGTACATGTAATGTAGCTCCTGCTTATTGATGCGTTAAGTGCTACTTAGCTCACCGTGAAACAACGATCTCACGTTTAACGCCGGATTACCACCGAACATCTGAAATTCACTTCCACTGTCAATAATCGCGCCTGGAATTTTCGAAGTAACAGCAATATTTCAATTATAGCGTTAGAAACCGAAATTTAAAAATAAGCTCGATGAAATAGTTGGAACTTTCAATGTAAATATCTAAGATTCAAACTGTCGTCTTGTTACAGGGCTGGGAAGCAATGCATATCTAACGAGCGCGCCCTTTGCTCAGCTGACGCCTTGGCTCTTGAGCGACATCTTAGCCCATCTGGATGTACACTCCCAAATGAGGGCCCAACGGTAACAGATATACTTGCAATCTCTAGCGTACGCAATGCTTGATCATCTATCTACTGATCCGTTTTGCGACAGGGTGTGCGCATTGTGGCAGCTCCTGCTGAGGAGTGCCCGCATGGTGGAGCACGTCAGCATCTCTTTTGAGAGTTGTTGGCAGCTGCAGTCCGACAGCGATAACTGCTTCAAAGCGGCCACTCTCTTAAGCCGATACGTCACTCCAAACACCATCAGTGTGACCGTGCTGCGATTCCTCCCGCCTAGTGACGTGGGTATCTTGTTCAAATGGCTTGAACACATGCTAGACGTCCACCAAACCCCGCTGCCTTTTCTCGTCTACAAGGACCACACTAGCCACCAACCGCAACCGATTCCTCGGTGGGATGATGCGCCCTTTAAGCACCCGGCAGCGCTCGAGGCCTTGGTATGCAGGTACCTGGTCGACACCATTGTGCTGTACAACTGGACCGCATGCGACCTGTTCGGCCCCATAGCGTTCCAAGTGTTCGAGTGGGATCGTCCTCCGGCCGCCCGACCCCTCCGTGCACTTGAGGAGGACCTGATGGTTCACCTAACGCGGGAGTCGCACGAACTGGACTTGGACAAACTGCAGATCACCATCCCGCGATTGCTGCTGCGCTGCAGCGAAGGCCGAACGGGCATGAGTGCGCGCTTCATGCACGCTCTCAACGACAACTTCCCACCCGTCAGTGAGGACATGCTGGCAAAGGTCAAGACTGTCCATGATCGTTGGGTGCGCACTCTGGTGTATCCAGAGGACTGGCAGTCCATTCGGGATTACATTTTTGTGTAAGTGCAAGGACGAATTCCACTCTCCCGCTTGTCTTATAATCTTCTCTGCGGTTGTCGTGCAGTTACGCAGTTGGCAAAAGAATTTATCAGGGAGCGGGCGCCGGTGAGCGGTTTTTGATCTCGTCTGCCGTGCTCGGTTTTCGGTCTCTTACGTGTTAGTCCAGACAGTTGGGGACTTTGTGCAGAAAAACCAGCACATGGGCGGCGCGCATATTGCTTGTGCACCATAAATGGGCATACACGGGCTGCCCGTGTCCTAGTTTTCACTTTAACAAATTTTGTGGTCTAACACCGGGTTCATGATTTTCTGTTTTGATCGCCACAGAAAACATTTTCCTGTTTCCCAAATGAAACAGATCGAAAACATTTTTTCTGTTTCAAATGTGTACACATTTTGTCTGTTTCCATAATGTGTACGTGTGCTGCTTGTTTCTGTTTATGTGTCGTGCATTCATACTTACCGTATGTATGGACGCGTATAGAAAATCTGTTTGGGTAGTGCGTCATACTTTCTGTTCTGTTTCTCTGTTTTATCTGTTGATGAAAACAGCAAAGTATTAATTAACCCCGTATACTGCAAGATATACTAGCATAACGCGCGTGGGCGTGGTTGTGGGCGGCGGAAGAAAAAAAGAGCATACCGCGCGAGCGGGAGAGTGAAAACCGTCTTCATAGGCTCATTCACATGCCATGTTGGATGCAAAGTTATTGGTTGACACGCAAGAGGGCGGACTTGCGCTAATCAAGCACGCGTTGTAGGCTTAGCGGCTTTAACTCGGATGGGACACTGCGCGTATGGGATGAGGTGGACTTGCGCCTGTTGGATGTGTCTACCCTGAGCCGATTAGCGATATACGGCATCGACAAACTCTTCCGTGTTTAAGACGTTCTGTGTCGTGTTGCCAACGTCAATTTCGTTCGTGGAAGTTTTCCTGACCGATTTTTAAGATACTAAGCGAGAAAGCAGAATCAATCTGATGGAGAGAGTGTCACCAAAAGGCATGCCAAACATATGGTTTGACATTGATGTGTTGCTGGAGGCGGCTTCCACTGTTATTAAGGTCATCTTGTTTAGTTTCTCTTTTAAATGTTCAGTGTTTTCATCTGTTTCTCTGTCTCTTCAGCCAGTTTCCTTATTTGAGCTTTGTTATGTCCTTAGGACGGGAGCAATACAATATTCTTACATTAACACAAATAATAAACATTTCTGTCCTGTCGTTCTTCGAAGTATTGCTTCGGTCTCATGATCATGCTAAAAATCCCGCCAGTTTGTAACTCACAGTACAATCCTCTGTTGATCTTTTAGTAAAATGGTGGCGATTTACTGAATACCGCACGCACCTCTCGCGGCAGTTTCGCCCCCGAACTGAACATCATTTACATGGTGTCAGAAGATTTACATGGTTATTTTGGCTGCCTTTGTTCGATCTGCTGTGATCTAAAGAATTTTGTAACAAAAATTGTGCTACAAAAAACGAATTTAGTTACAAAAAAACGAATTTTGTTTATTGTGTTGTGTACGCGTTGACAAACACTACGTGTTAAAGCTGATAAGGTCAGCATAGCCGAAGTACTGACTGCTGCCTCTTGGCCCACAGCTATGACCACGACCAAATTTTGTTCGAACTACTGTAGACACTACTAGACAAACAGACTATAGACTGTTATAATCAAAGTTTTGGCCTTGAAAACACAAAACATCTTTATAACCTTTATATAAAATTTCCGACAACAGTTTATCTATACAATTTTTGACACATCGACGCTGCAACAGTAATAAGGGCATTTCAGAATAAATATTTGGCAGATTTGTAAGCACGTGACAATCGGTGCTCGTACCAATGTTTAATCAGACAGAAATCAATCGAATAAGCTGAAGCTACTGCGAGACGTGTATTATTTGCATAATCAAAAATTGTCAAAATTGCTTAAGATAAAGCGACAAGCTTTGTTTCTCTACTACACAGCAAACAATCTTCAACCATTTGTTAAAAATCCTGTTACTAATATCGGACTATAATGGCGTGAGCCAAATCTCCCGCGCTCGTTTAAATAATAATCATTACTGCTAGTGGAGGTCGTCTGTATGGGACAGGTGCTGATGGCCCACTTGGTCCACGTGCCGGTCTTGAAGGTCCACGCGTTGCAGCCGGCGGTGACCACGGTGGCGTAGGTGGCATTGCGCACATCCAGCGCGATAGCATTGAGAATGGGGATCCCGTCGAAATTGTTGGTTGCGCCGTTGAGGCGGAACACATTACCTTTGCGAGAAATGGTCCGAATCTCTCCGTCTTCTCCGATACTAACCCATTTGCTATATTGGAACACTCGCTGGTTGCTGCCGGCCACGAGGGCCCATGTAGGGATCATGCCTGCGCCGTTGAATTTTCGGATATCTCCATCAGCACTGTCCAGTGCCGACGGCCTCTGAATCTCAACAGCGGTGTTTTTGCTCATGGCGTTGACCTGAAAATGGTTTTTACATCCATGAAACGCAACGTTTTCGCAACGATTTCTGCTAAAAGAAGATTCTTTCCAAAATTGTGGTAGTTTTTTAAATCCTCGTTCACGTCTTTTTTGATGGTATATTCGGCGGTTTATGCCTCGATAGCACAGCGTACTTCAAAAAATTGTGGATGCTTCCTAAATAAATAAAACTGAACTATTCTGCATTACTGAATTCGACACGAACACATACCGGTATGTCATATATGTACAACATAAGCATGGCTGTCCGGGCTTAATCTTGATTATTGCATGAGAACGTTACTCGCCAGTGTGCTTGAGAGGGAATAAAGATACACGAACACGCATCTCATTCGCGGACAGTTGCTTATTCTCACCTGCAGACAGCGACCACTATTGGTGAACTCCCAGGCATTGCTGGTTGGATTGAAGCGGTATGTTTGACCCGTCAGAGTGCATAAGTGATGCCAGGCGTCCGGACTGGCGCCCACACTAACGGCTTTGGCAGATTCAACGTCCCGTCCCCCCCATTGACAAGCGGCATGGGTTTGGTGGCAATGCGACCCAGGCCACGTTGTCGAGACGGTTGACGATGCCGGTGCGATCGATGGCCAGGAGTACGTTGCCTTTGCCGAAAATGTAGGTGAAATTACATTACTGACTGACGGCGATCGGCGATGCTGCTGAAATGGCTAAAAATCGACCACACTGAACGCCGAGAACAACAGACCACCTTCGAGACCATCGTTCGGTTGGAAGACAGTTGGATCGATTGTTAAGAAAAACTCCCTCTGATACGCTGCGGTTGAAAAGTTTACGGAGAAATGGCAGTGTGGAAAGTAAAATACTTCGTTAGAAAGACCCTGGATCACTGGAATAGCGGCTTGAATAAGCGGCGACCTGAACAACAGCAATTTGATGACAGCTACAAAAGCAGTTTAAAACGAGCCGAAATTACGGGATAAAAGAAAGGAATGCGCATATCATTACCAGGTACCTCAGAAAACGTTTACTAACAACCGTAAAGTTGTGCAATCCATAACCTTTTTGCGAGGCTTCTATGATATCGTAAACCCTGGTTTCGTAATAACAGACTCCTGAAATCATCTTGCTTATTTACATAATAATATGACCACCTAAATTCCATGCCGTGGCTTACATAAACGCACGGGATTAGGCTGTTTCCGCTTTTCATTGCGAAAACAAAGCTGTGAATTCTTATCGATTTAACAAAGTTCTGCTGGCAATCGCCGGCCAATCACGTGTGGACAACCCACCGAATCGGTATCTATGTAGTTTTTATGGCCATTCTGGCTAGACATAGAAACGGTTTGTACCGCAGTAACGGTGTTGCAGCCGGCGTTTAGGGAATTGTGGAATTGTTTGTCCGCTCTATGCAGCACTGCTTAGAGCAGCAGGGAAATAAGAAATGTCATATTTCTGTACAGCACGTTAAAATGAATTTCGATGTAGGAGGAACGCCCATCAGACTGCATCGTAATGTGTGGTATTTTAGGAATCGGAGGTTTGCAGTTGCTCGTTGTTTTCCGGTGGCATCACGTTACAGGAAGCACAATTTCGATCAGCTTATTAAATACATGCACATACTAGCAGCTAATATTTCAAAGTTTTACCGTTAGCATACTGTAATATCTGTACGTTACATGGAGTAAAGCAATAACAGCTTGTACAGTAATTCGACACGAACGTATTGTACGTAAAACTACGTGTATTCCATACAAAATTAATTGAGGAAAAAAGAAGACCTTAACCTTTACGCACAAAAAACTCTAAATTAGAAAATGCTTTTGTGGTCATAAATTACTGTGGTACCATCTTGAGTCGACGATACAGTACTTAGTGGTCGCGCTGGTGCAGATGTCGATGGTGAGCGCCGATAAAACAACAATTATTTTATTGTATGGGTGCAAGAGATTACTGTATTCAATCCTTAATAAAAGTATTTTGTACAAAATAGCAAATATTTTGAATTATGGGGTTTTGTCAATATTTATACTCGATATACGCAGTATCCGCAATCCCTTTTGGCGCAGTCATAGTGCTGTTCTAATGAAATCGTAGTGCAGTGGCGAAACCAAGTAAATGAATTGGTGGTTTTTTTTATCTGAATATAAATATATGCATTCCAGAATACAAAGTACAAATGCTTTTCGGCACTGTTAGAATATTTTTGAATAAGTAATCAATACATTTGTGTACTGTATTTGTGCAATTACATAGTTTTCTTCAAGTTCTTTTGTCCGCCTCAAAAGTATCCTTTTTTTGTTTTCAACAACTGTATCCCCGTGGATCCGGAACGAATGTCCTTGATTTATTCATGCAGCAATTTCGTGATGATTGTACCACGACGCCGGAAGACACCAGTCCTAGTAACGACGAAATACGACCGAAAAAGACTTACAAAATTTTATTTCAGTTTTATTTAGGAGTAATAAAAGAAATCCAATAAACCTAAAAGAATCTAAACAGTTAAATGAGACAAAATTAAAATTACAGCCACATTTAGTACAAACTGAGTATTTATTAAAACAAGTAACACTGCGTATTTTTTAAAATCTTAAATAGATGTTTGTCTTTTTTATCGTTTCGGCTGGCTACCGCATGCACATTTTCATTTACATGTAAATGAATTAATGTAATGTACTGAATGTATGTAAATGTAAATGTAATGTGAATGTAATGTACTGAATGTAATGTAAATGAATTAATGTAATCAAACAGAATAATTAACATTTTACATACCCGTGTTTTGTTAATTGACTAAGAATAATAGTCGTATGGGGCATGATGTATAAATCTCAGATAACTTCACATCGTAGTATTGTCTTCTTCAGAATGTTGGCGTTCAAACATTCGTGATGTTAATACAGTTTTACTACAATTTTACTCGCATTTTTAATATAAGCTTCTCGTTATTTCCTTCCGAGTTTTTTTATATTTGAATAATACATTTTAAATAACTAATTTCTTATTAAAGTCTTTTTTATTAATAATTTTAGCAGCCGGTGGGAATTTGGTACGTTAAATAATTTTCTGCTGGTGCTATTGTGTAAGCGAATATGTGAATTTCATTGCTGTAACTCCTACTACCATCGTAGTGTGATGGCGCGATTTTAAGTCGATGGGAGCTGCAGGTTACAGTAATTGTTGCTGGATTTTCTACCTAAACGTTGACACATCGTTTAAACTTGTATTTTTTTTATTTTAAAAATCAGAAGAGTATAAGGAGAATTTAATTAACCTATGCGTACGTGTTTCTTGGTGAAGTTAATTTTATTATTATTATCTTTTGATTGTAATTTTCTCATATTTTCCACTAGCGTAGCGTTGTATTTCCTTAGTATCTTTTAATTAATAAATTCCTTAATAATTTTTTATTCATTAAAATCAATATCGGGAGTTGATTTTGATGTTTTTTACTTTCTCAATAGACATATCAAAGGGACAACAGCAGCGGTTTCGGATTGAGCAGAATTCCCAGCCAGTGCCCGACGCCTTCTGGTACCTCCACGGTTGACCTGTTCAACGTCACCGAATTCACAGTGTGTACTCGTACCGCGGCGTATTCTGCAGCCTGGCGAATATTGCCCGTTTACCGCATTTGGCTACTACAATGGAAGTCAAAATTCTCTTACATTCGGTCCGGGACCGAATGACCAATAAAACTAAATGGCCAGGACCACATGACCAGTTAACTGAAAACGCGCAGAATACGAACACTTGTTCTGGCGTATTTCCCAACGAAAACCAGCAAGCGATATCTCAAACGAAAGACAAAAAAATTTCAAGAATTTTGATACCAAACGGGTCATCCTTTATGGGATCTAAGAGAAAATCGAGCCATTTTAGTTTGTCGTAGACAAAGCACACGATTTCTGTGTGAAAACTGAAAGCAAACCGCGGATGCAAATCCTGTGCTATGTCTACGAGAAACTTTAGATGCCTCGATTATCTCTTAGATCTCATAAAGAACAACTTGTTTGGTATCTAAATTCTTGAAATTTTTTTCTCATTCGTTTGATATATTGGTCAATGGTTTTCGTTGGGAAATGCGCAAGGTGCAAGTGTAAATGTCAGCAGGCCAATGGCCAGTCAAAAATTTAGCTGTTTAAGTACAGAAAAGTGCTTGGTTGCGCGCGTTGTGTGATTACATAAGTGTAAGACAATTTTGGCGTCCACTGTATCTGCCATGATATTATCGGTACATATTTCGGCTTCTGTGCACAATTAAGTAAATAGGTTTTATTTTGTTGCTTTTTCTGTATTCGCAAGATTTCAACGTTCCTTCGGATCTCTTGTGGTTGACTAGAAAATGTTGACGCTGTAAGTAAATTCAGTGTTGCAGTAATTAAAACAAAAGCACAGTCATAATTCTGCATAATAATAAACTGCGCTAGTACGTAGTACGTACTAAACTACTGCTAATCGTGTCGGTTTCACTCCGCATATCTTCAGTGTGCTGCGCGTTGACCGCAGTTCAAAAAGTGTTCAAAGGTACTTATTTACGTAATGTACAAATACCGCACGTACGGTACATGCTAATTTTAAAAGCAAAGAGTGAGTGAATCGGTCAGTTAAACGCTTATAGTCCTTATACGTACGGTTTCACGTTGTACCTGACCACCGGTAGTACGTCTCAACTGGTTTTTATCCGCCCCAGTATCACGTGCGCAGGCGCTCGTTGATTTCGCGGAAAATCCGTTATCTCTGATGCAGATCGCCACCATTCTCCATTCCGTCATAGCGTGATCTCACGATCAGTATCCATTTATTTTGGTTAACCACAAATTCCTGTTTGTCTAGTCGCTGACCTGAAAATTTCTATTGTTTTGAAATATTGATACACAATCATTGTAACGATTAGGTTTCCACTGAAACCAGTAAACGGTTCCAATTTGTGATTTTTATGTTAATTCGTGTTTGAACGTGTTTGTCCAGCAGAGTCTACATCATGGCGCAGAAGGCCAACTCCTTTTTCAAGGGTCTGGAGGATTCCTTTCGGGATCTGTCTTTCGACTCCCCTTCCTCCATCGCGTCCCGTTCCCTCCTGGCCAGTTCCCCGCCGCAGCATTCTCTGGAATTCGGAACATGGGCCAATCCGTCTCCCAGTCCGACGCTGGAACGTGGCGTGCCCGTGTTACCTCCTCCGCTGACTCCGCTGGGACGCTACAACCGTGGAATTCCCAACAGCTCCCGTGCAGCTCGAATGGCCATCCTGCGGGATTCCGGGAACAGTCATGTGGTCTGGAGCGGGACGCTACCACCGCGCAACTGTCGCACAAACTCGCCGTTCTCCTGCAAGGTAAAGATTGCTGATAAACTGTGCTGCGATCTCAAAATCTCTGTAGTCTAATGCAGATCGGAGTAGCAGTAGTACGGTGACGTAACCAGCCGCGTGATATATTTTAGCGTTCGCTTTGTACTTCCTCCTAATAAACTGTGCTCGAGACGTATGAATTCTGTTCACCGTCGTGGTTTTGTTACGATGTGTACGGAAATTTTGCTGCTTCAAATACAGTCTGTACTTCAGATACCATTTCCTTGTTGTGGTTTTGCTCGATTGCGATGAACTGATGTTTACGTTCTTCTGTAACACAGTACACATTTGTTTCAGGTATTTTTGGGTGGTGTGCCGTGGGATATCACGGAAACGGACTTGCAGAAAACGTTCGGAGTTTTTGGCCCACTGCGCGTGGAATGGCCGGGTGTGCACGACCACTCTTCAACGCAGCGTCCAAAAGGTGAGAAAAAAATCAGAAATGTGCGGAGTATTATGAAAAATTACTTATCAATCGTAGAGGAATGCATGGTTATTTTATTAATGGGTTTTGCTGTTAAAATATAAATTTTAACATCGAATGAATTTGCGTAGAGCGTCTAGTCGTATACGGTACATGCATGCATTCCGTTGTTTTGATTTTGTACAGAAATGTTTATTAATTTCTTATCTATCGTGAACGTCCAACACAGTTAGAGCAATCCGTAGAAGGTTGATTTTGGTTGAAGACTTGCAGAGATTTATCATAATTTTCGGATTAAATCTGGCCTGCGATTCGGTCATTATTGTATAATTTTGTGAAATCGTTTTGAATTATTTTTGACAGTGTCGCGATAAGTATTCCATCAGCTGTCACAGTTTGACAATCTGCTTTTTTTACAGGACACCTGTACCTGCTGTTTGAAGACGAGCGCTCGGTGATGAAGCTGTTGGGCCGTTGCTCCTACGACGGCCACCACAACCAGCACAACTGGTTCTACCGCGTGGCCAGTCGGCGGATGCTGGGCAAGTCGGCGCAGGTCATCCCGTGGCAGCTGGCCGATGCCACCTACGCGCTGCACGGTTACGTGCCCACTCCGGGCACACCCTACCGCATCTTCGTGGCCAATCTGCACGGGATGATTACGGCCGAGGGACTGGGGCGGATCATGAATGATTTGTTCGGCGGCGTCATCGCCGCCACACTGGACACTGGTAAGTAGTGGTTAAAAACCGTTTAGAAATATTTGAAATATGAAGAAACACTTGACAACTGAACGGGAAAAATTACCAGTGTAATCTCTAAACGATTATAAAGTTTTCGGATTGTATTTGCAATTTGCTTTTACTCGTACGAGTAGTCGTAATACGCGGCCCGATACATTCGCATTTTCCGTGTTATTAAAAGTTAAAACTGTTTCCGCATTGAATAAAAGAGCATTTACGAGTGTCTTTTTCTCAAATTGCTAATAAAATAAATTGCTTATAAAATTTCTGTTTGTGTAGATTTTTCTTATTGGTGAATAAATAAGAAAAGTCTGTTTTGTGTTTTGCTCGTTTAAAAAAACTGAAAAATTTGTTCTCCGTCGTCCGAACTTTTCTGACATTTGCATTATTGCCAACTGGCAGACGATCGGCGCAATGGTGTACATAATACATTGATGAAGCAAGTCGTAGTGCAGTGGTTCCAATCCTACTCTCCTGGATCAGTTTTGTCGATTAGCTGCAGGTTACATTTGCATTTGTCAATTTAAGCTTAGTTTATTACACCATAAATTTTTTTTTAAAAAAACAGCAACAATTACCTTCGCGTTTCATATAGGCAATTAACGAAAAAAATTATTGCTAATTTAGAAAGCGTTTGTTTTGACAGATAAGACAAAGTACCCGATCGGGTCGGGCCGCGTCACCTTCAACAACCCGACCAGCCACCTGAAAGCCATCACCGCGGAGACAGTGGAGATCCGGACGGCCAAGTTCACCCGCCAGATCAAGATCGACCCCTACCTGGAGGACGCCATGTGCAGCACCTGCGGCCTGCAGCCGGGCCCGTACTTCTGCCGCGATCTGCACTGTTTCGACTACTTTTGCAGCGGCTGCTGGCAGGCCCACCACGCCCTGCTGCCCGTCGCGCCCGGCCAACCGGTGCATCTGCCGCTGGTGCGTCCGGCGCGCCAGCCCACCCAGGAGCATTTCTGAACGTGCGGAAGCGTCGTTTTTTTGAAGATTTTTTGAGATTTTATTTAGAAGATGGTGAAGCTTTCTTTTTTAATTGTAGAATTTATTGTTTGGAAATTTCTCAGGTTAGGAAAAACGGTGTGAGAGAGCGTTTTTATCGTTGCGACTACAAGTTGTGCGTGTACCTGTGTGTTTGTAATTGGTGAAGGGCATTTTTTTGCGGCAGTTGTCAATGTTTTCTTTGGAAGTTTGTAAAGCGTTGTCGAACGGTTTTTGTTGGGTTTATGGTGGCGCTGGGCGCCGTGTTGGCGTCCAGTGCGCTGCAGAGTTTCGCGCTGTTTACAGATTCCGATTTTTCGCAGTCTTTCCCGTATATTTTTCGACTGTGCTGCACATTTCCGTGTGTATTCGGGGGAATTCTTAATTTCCCATCTGTTGTAATTAATCGTTGTTTGTTTTCTGTTACTTACAAATGTTGCCGGTGTTGTGAAAATCCGAAATAAATTGAACTATGTTAGGAAGGCGGTCTTCTGCGAATAATTCTTAAATTCTAAGAAAATAAAAGCATATAAATAAAAAATAAACAATTTATTCGAAACAAAATAATTACATTAAATTAGAACTAAATAAAAACCAATTGTACGACACAGTCGGCGATTAACTTGTGAAACAAAACAGAAAAACAGCAGGTGACAAACGAGTTATCCAAAATGCACCAAATATCGACAAACTGGCACAGAGGTTGTGGTGGAAAAATGAATAGCGAATTTACTCCAAGCGCCGACAGAAAATTGATAATTTAAATCGTAAGATAGGCAGCTGCAGCAAATGGAGGTATTTTTAACCGGAACTGCAAGGTACTGTAACAATTAGAATAGCATTGATTTGGCAAAATCGCAAGGCAATCACAGCAACAGGCCGCTGATACGGAAACGACCGAAGCACGGAAAACCAATAAAATTGCCAGCGATAACCGGGCGCAAGCTCTACGGGGCCTGTTGAGATCTGAATCTCGCAAGAAAACAGTCACTCATCCGAACCGAGTGAAGCCAGCGCTTCACCGGCCTTCACGAATCCTTCTGATATCTCCGATTTCAACTGATGTCTAATTACTGGATTTGCTTGTTTACTGAGTGAGTTTCCTGTGCCTTTCAGTCTGCTAGATAGTGTAAACTTGCGGCGACTGCTGTCTGGTTGCACGCTGCTGTTTCGTGCCGAACTGTCGATCTTCATTATTCTTGTTTACTTCGCAGCATCATGACTCCAACACCCCGGTTTTTTCGCGAGTTATGGTCGGGTGCGCGGGAAGTCAACTACGGCAACACAGTCCTGGTGTATCGCGATGACGGCCAATGGTGGTTAGGATACGTCCAGGACGTCAAGGAGCAGAACTTCCTCGTGGACTATGACGCCAGTACAGCATCTTCCGACTGGATCCATTCCAGCCGTCTCTGGCCGCACCATGCCCCACCGGAGCTCTTCGTCGGCGCTGTCGTGCAGGTGACGCTGCGGGAGCGCCACGGGGGCCCGCTGGTGTTCCGTCCCGTCACGGCCGTTGCGCAGTGGGAAGGCAGATTCCTGGCTGTCTGTCTGGACGCGCAGCACCCGACGGACTGCCTCTTCGTGCATCCCACTCGGTTTGTGGACGTCCTGCCAGTCCCCGGGGATGGACAGAGCTTTTCCGCGCGCACCGACGGCCTGACGTTCACGAAACACGCCGTCCCTTTCCCGGAGGCGGTTGGGATCCGCAGCGTCGATCGTCTGCCCGCGCTTTTGCAGCAGACCTGCCGGTTCACTTTGGCGGACGGGGAACAGTTGAGGGGTAATCGGGTCATTGCGGTGTCCCGGGGGCTCCGAGCCTTTCTACTCCATGCCACCGCGCCAGGCGATAGCTGAGATGGTCTGGCATGGTGGGGTGTACGAGGGCGTAAGCGGGTTTGTGCGCGTGGGAGTCGACACGGTAACGGTGGCTTGTCTGGAGGTGCACAACGAGGCCGGCGGGCGTTGAATGGCGTGGGATGAGGAGGCTGTCAACGAGGCCTGCAACGCGTATCTCCACAATCATCCAGCGGATGCCGTCGGCGCGGTTCCCCGGGAGCAGGAATACGGTGAGTACACTAGTGCAGTTTTTAGGAGAAGTGTTTGTTTTCGTCGCTGTAAAACTATAGCATGTTTTTGCTAGTTTCGCACAATCGCTCATGTTATTTACTGTATTCTGCTCCTAGTACTCAGATGTCGATGCAGTACGTTCTTGTTTGAAGGTTCCTCCGGTAATTACTCGGTACAGGTGGACGACATGTCGATAGACGAGCTCCCGCATCCGATCTTGGCGGGCATCTTCACCAGTGTGGATGCGGATAGTCTGCTGCGATTCTCTTGGTACGGCTGCTAGCCTGTCGAAACATTGAGGATACGAAAATACAGCGAGAACGTTAAATCTAATGGTAACGCCAATGATTCTACGGCGCACCACGCCGTTATTTTGATGTAGACATACTTATCCTATTTTATATTTTTTCCAGCCACGTCTCTGCAGTTAGTATACGTATTTATTTATTATTATTTGCCAGTGCAGTAACTGCAGTGTAGTCGCCATCATTAAAGTGCCACTGCCAACATCGCGCTCAACTTGTGCCTATATAAAGATATGCTCAATTTTTTTGGTTTTGGTTATCCAGGGTTTGCGCGTTATGGCATGATGTGGTGCAGAAGTACCAGGATAAGCGTCTCGTCATCTTGCATGGACAGTGCGCAGATTTGGCCGAAAGCGCCCTATATCCAGGAATGCGCCATTGAGCTTCCTTACCGCTACTACAAATTGGTAACCACGCTGGACCGCACTATCACAACGGAAACGATCACGCTGCGCTGATAGACCACCGCGACGCCAATGTGTTTGCGGTGGATCTCACCGACATGCTGGAGGCCGTCAAGGCGGTACTGGCAGCCAAGGGAATGTGCCTATCGTCCATCGTAGTACGATTACGGTGTCGTTGGTGTGGTGTCATGGGAGACACTGCTGGTCATCGATGTCTTGTCTGATGAAGAGGATGCCGTGGATATCAGCGACGACGCATATACATCCTGCTCCACGTGACCGACGTGCTGAGCGTATGCGACGAGCTGGTCCTGCTTAATTTCCAGCCGTCGCTCTCCATCACCACATCCGCATTGAACATGTTCGAGGTCGCCGGCATGAAGCCAGCAGAGCCACTGGAGACCCGCAGGCGCGCTGATCACGACATCGTGACCCCGGGTGCGATTGATCTGGGTGTGAGGATTCCGTTTCTGCGGTTTCGCGCTGGAGAAGCCGCCACGGAACAGCGCCGACGCTTTCTGGCCGCGGCCAATGACAACTGTCCGGCCGTTAGTGAAGTTGTGCGGCAGAAGGTCACTGCTTTGTTTGCGCGATGGACGGAGAAACTGGATGAGTGCGGATGGACCGGGGTGCGCCGATTCGTCAAGCTGTAAGCATTAAAGACTATTTTGGTTAATGAATATATTGTGGATTGTGGGTAAACACTGAAGCGTGAATGTCGTAGTTATTGCAGGGTGTGCAAATACTTCGAACGGCGTTTGTATGAACCTGGTTGATTTCTGGAGGGTGTACAGATTCGAGGCGTGTATTCATTTTGCGTAGGACTCGAGCGGGCGAATTTTACATACGAATTCCACAAATTACAGCATTTATAACACTTACAATTTTACAACTACAGTAAGTATATATTTCTTGGTTTAATCAGGTTCAACAGTCTTGGACCCGATGATAATCCGCAACGATGGGACACCATGGATTTCCGCCAGTTGGACGTTTCCAGGTTGAATAACTTGACCTTCGCAGCACTGCATGGATGCTTTAGAAACGAAAGCGAAGAAGACAGCTACCCGTATGGTCGCTTAAGTGAAACACTATGTTAAGTGAATGGGCGATGGTCGTTTAAGTGAAACACCCGAAATATTTCATTCCACAAACCGATTTCCTTCTGGTTTTCTTCTTTACCCGATAGAGCTAGGCGTGCTCTTCACATAGTACTTGAAATTATTTAAAAAACTTGAATCGTTTTCTTGCAATTGCGTCGGTAAAAAAACAGTGACGAAACGCTTAAGCCACGCCACCCGAGCCACTGCACTACGCCAGGATAATTACAGTCACTGCCTCACGTGCGGCTGCGCCACCCTATGAAGACTGCATATGTACACAATACTTAAATACGAAGACAGTGTTGCGCCAGAGCAGCTAATTCAATAAAATTTTATTGTACTTATAAAATCCTGAATCAACGGCAACAAAAAAACTTCTGCGAGTAAAACAAATCACCGGTTAGTTGGATCGCAGGTTAATATTAAAAATCACAGGTTAGTGAACACAGGCTAAAAAATTCATAACAGGAAAGCCGGCGGGCGGTGATTAACGGGACTTCTTTGGTTTGGATTTTGGTGCTGCTTTTTTCTTCTTGGCTCTTTCGGACAGCGAAAGCGAAAGCCCTTTTTCTTTCACGTCAGAACAAGCTGATATTAAACGTTTATCCATATTACTGTTTATCATTCAGTATCACACTCCTGAAAGCATAATTTTAAGAAATAAAGAAATAACTCGCATTAGAAACAAACAAATCTGAACTAAATAGCGCAGCCGCACATGTGAGGTAGTGACTGTAATTATCATGGCGTAGTGCAGTGGCTCGGGTGGCGTGGCTTAAGCGTTTCGTCACTGTTTTTTTACCGACGCAATTGCAAGAAAACGATTCAAGTTTTTTAAATAATTTCAAGTACTATGTGAAGAGCACGCCTAGCTCTATCGGGTAAAGAAGAAAACCAGAAGGAAATCGGTTTGTGGAATGAAATATTTCGGGTGTTTCACTTAAACGACCATCGCCTATTCACTTAACATAGTGTTTCACTTAAGCGACTATACGGGTAGGTGCAGGGCGACGTGGAAGATGGCGAGGACAACGACGCCATCGGATAGCGTCCGGATGTGGCATTGTACTGGTTGATTCCCGGCTGAGTTGCCTTTGGTGCGGTTACTGCGGTATCCGTGTTGTCCTGAGTTAATAATGGGTTAATAAAGTTCTGTGTCTTTGCCACAGTGGAATATTTGCTGCCCGGTTACTGTGAGCTTCAGATTTTATGTTGGTTATTAAACGCAGAGTAATGGCTGAAGTTTATGCACGAACCGCATCCAGCTGTTCTCTAACGGTAGTAGTATCGTACGTGACCGTTACCATTCGGCTTCATGTACCCTAACGTAACAGGAATCATTCGGCATCATTCAGCGCAACCAAACTGAAGTTCGTTAACGATAAGAAAGAATAGCGCAGTTTACAGATTCGCCTGTACATGTAACAAACGATATAGATATACGTATATACATAGTACATACACAGCGCCTTACCGACTGCAAAAAGCACGATGACGTAGCCCGATGAGTAGCTTATTTCAGTATTTCTTGGAACTTTCTGCTGAAATTATTTCTAATAACTTAGAATACCGTAATTACTGTTCTAATAATAAATGCCGCACAGTATTTGTAGCATAATTATACCATAATTACCATAACCATAATTACTGTTGTGTGTACCATAATTAATATAACAACCATAACGTTATTACTCGTAATAATACCATAATTACTATTCGGATTTATTAATGCCGTCCAGTATTGTACTCTGTACACTGTAATCTTAAAAAATTTCTTAGCACCCGGGAAATTATTCATGCGCCTTCTTCCGCGTATTATGCAGTAGTTGTTGCACAAAAATTTCGCTGTCCCGGTTAAGCCTGATGGCAACCGGTCGACCGGGCAAGTACTGTACTTCGGATGGGCACTGCGCTGGCAGCGGATTGGCCCACACGCACGTATTGACCGCTGGCCACGCTGGTATCCATTCCTGGCACATACTGCTCACCAGCGGATGTCGGTAAATCGATCCAGTGGAACTGCGTTTCGGTAGCATTGCGGCGATTTGACACAGCGTTTTGGGGAACACTACTGAGCTGGTTGATTACGAAGTCTTCCATCCAGGCACTTACCGCATGTTTACGTACATGCAGGGTTACGCAGGAATACACTGAAAAGGTAGCAGTTAGCCGTAAAATAGGAAATGAGAAATATCAGTTAAAACCACTAGAGTACGCGATAATTCTCCGCGACAGTTGCAGTTGCTTTGATGTTTGACCAAAGTCACAAGATCGATCAAAATGCAAAACAATCTTTGAAACAGGCCGCCGATACAAGAATGTTAAGAAACGCCCGAAGTATAAACTAATTTGCCATCGATAACAGGGCGCAAACCCTTCTTAGCCTGTTGCGATCTGAATCCTACGCGTAGTATTGCGCAGCCATCCCAACGAGGCAGTCACTTATCCGACCAGCCTGAACGAATGCACGGCCTTCACAGTTCACTTTGCAGTTTGTTTGCTGTTCGCAAATTAAGTGAAACCTAAAACTTACTAGTATAGAAGGTCGTAACCGCCCTTAGTGCAAGCGAGCGAGCATGTAAATTTTTTTGTTGTAAAAGACTTGGCAGGGTGAGACAGGAACCTAACCAAGTAGTTGAGAGTCTACCTAGCTTTTTGTATCTTTTGCATATGCCGCGTTATCAACAGATATACTCAGATATCAGTTTGTTTTTGCCACCGCTGCGATGCTGACGCGATACCATCATTTTTATGACGTTTTACGGAATCAAGCCGATACGGTGTATTAATTTTAAAACGATTCCTTCAGGAACTACGGCGCGGGCACTGCTAATGCTTTACCGCACATTGCCGCCCATTCCGCTTGTTCTCCGCCGCACCAAATTCTTTACATTGGGATACTGATCTCATTTCTTCAGTTTCTCATTCTCAGTACCGATATTTCATTCCAAAAACCGATAAGACTTATACAGGTAACCGACGCCGCCAATTCAGTGGCTACGCTCAGCTTGTCCGTCTAAATTGGTTGGGAAGTGTTCAAGCCCGTTTAAGAACCCCAACCCCGGCCATCGTCAGTTCAGATCAATCGTTTTCACGACTGAAATTTGAACGCCACCGCTTGCGAAGGCAAAACGATGAATTACTTACTGGAGAGATTTCTTAAAGCATCCGCAATTTAGAGCGCTTTCGCTGCGGATGCATTTGCACAACGATTTACAAACGAAAACGCTAAACGAAAACGAAAACGCGGAAAGGGAGTTTTACCAAATTTTCTGTTTCCGTGAAAAGTGACTATTAAATGCGACGCTTGTGAAAGCAACACGCCGTAATTCACCTGTCATGAATACCGCTTTCTGTAATAATAAAAACCCTTGGCATGGATCTCTATTATTTTTCCCCGTAAAGAAACAAAAATGTTTATCAATCAGGTTTATCTTTTTATTTTTCAAATTAAATTGATATGAAACTATAAATGAGCTCATCTCAGAAGTTGAAAACTAATGGTGTAGCTCAAAATGAGAAACTTAGATCAATCACTCAAAAAATTCGCATTTTATTTACAAGAATTGAAGTTTAAACTTTGATAGAGTTATCTTTTAAATTTTGTTTAATTGTTTTTAAAACAAAGGCTGAAAGAAAGCTAAAAAATAAAAGTCGTTCCGTTCTACTTGCTGCTTTGCTCGCTCCGCTGCGCTTACTCTCGCCGCAGCTCGGAGTCGCTTCGGCTCCGCTTTCGATTTTCTTAGAAACAGTTACTCGCTACTGTACAGTATCATCACGGAAAGTAAACGTTTAAATTGAACCGTAAAAAATACCATTTCCCAAGAAAAGGATATAATAATCCTTAATGCTCCGCTCGCTGCGCTGCGCTTGCTCACGCCACAGCTCGGCGTCGCCTTCAGCTCCGCCTTCGATTTCCGTAGAAACGGTTATTCGCTTCTCTATTCTTGCGATAATCGAACGTTTGAACTACACCATAAAAAAATGTTTTTGGAAGAAAGAAAAATCGAACCCTTTAGTTTTACTTGCTGTTCCGCCCGCTACTCTGCGCTGTCTTGGTCCGCAATTCGGCGTTGCCTTTGGCTACGCTTTAAGTTTCAACAGCAAGGGCGACGGCAATCCGTTAACAATAGTTACGGTAGCCCTTACCGTGACAGAAACTGAGACGGTTACGGTAACATGTTATAGTTATGGTAGCGTAACATTTATTATTGGTAACGCTTAATTAGAGTGGTGAAAGCTGGTAACGCGTTACCATGAGTCATTGCAAATTGAATGCGGCTCAATTGGTCCTGTAAAGTAAGTGCTAAGGTAGGTAAAATTGCTAACGATAGTAACAGTAGTAACGGTTCCTGACTTCGATTAGCATGGTTTGTTACGTCATCGTTTCAAAGTAATGTTACCCGTTATGACCTTATGGTGACGTTTAGCTTGAACGACCGAAATCAACTGGTCTACAAAGTTATATATTGGTTGAGGACCTTCGAGTATTTCCTACATTTGCTCAAACAAAGCTTTATGATGTTGTGAATCACGTTACAAAGTTTTGCCTCGCTGAAATGCGTTTCCCAGCCGTACCCCTACAATTACACACACAGCATGCAAGCTTCGGTAGGGCGAAAGCCGCAAAATTCCCCTTAAATGAATACCGTGGTTGTACATTCAGTTAACTTTTAGGGTTTTGTATTGCTTTTTACAAACAAAGTTTTTTAATGCCAGCAAAATAAACACAAATATGTTTCTAAAAAAGGAAAAATAAAGTGCTTCCGCTATACTTGCTGCACCTGGTGCTTTGCTACGCCTAATCATGCTCGGCGTCGGCTTGAGCCCTTTCTGTAGAAACAGTCAATTCTTAAAGCAACAGCATCTTATTGCTGTAACTCGCTACGCTAACGGTAACAGTTACGGTAATACGTACGGTAAACCGTTACGGTAACGGTAACACGTAACAGTATAGCGTCGGGGTAACCCGTCGAAACGGTTATCTGTTAGGCTAGCAAAAAATCGTTACAAAAATTTTGCAATGGTAATCCGTTGCGAATAATGGTTGCCCATTACAATGCACGGTAATCCGCGGCAACTGCAAACGTACTGCGGATACGGAGCGGTAGTGACTGAACCGCTACGGTAACAGCGATAACTGACTCTTCACGGTTGCGATATTCGCTGCAATGTTTAGGCCATGGTAATACAAATTCGTTACGCCAACTGTTACACCGAACATGTACCACCAGGGCCGGATAAAATTTCCGGACGCGGTCCTAAAAAACTGACGCCCTATTCATATGTACCGAAGGTTTGATAAAACTGCCCCGGTGGTTCCCTGCATGTCGGTTCCCCAAAAACGCACCAACCGGGGCGGGCAAAATTCCCGGACCGGGTTCTAAAAAACGGACCCACCATACTGTTTGTATGGCGGGTTCGTGAAAAATGCCCCGGTGGTTCCCCGCATGTCGGTCCCCAAAAACGCACCAACCGGGGCGGGCAAAATTCCCGGACCGGGTCAAAAAAACGGCCCTCCATAAATATATATGCGGGTTCGTTCGTGAAAATGCCCCGGTGGTTCCCCGCATGTCGGTCCCCAAAAACGCACCAACCGGGGCGGGCAAAATTCCCGGACCGGGTCCAAAAAAACGGGCCCTCCATAATATGTATATGGCGGGTTCGTGAAAAATGCCCCGGTGGTTCCTCGCATGTCGGTTCGGACCGGGTCCAAAAACGGGCCGTCCATACTATATGTATGGCGGGTTCGTGAAAAAATGCCCAGTGGTTCCCCGCATGTCGGTTTCCCAAAACGCGTCAACCGGGCGGGCAAAATTCCCGGACCGGGTCCAAAAAAACGGGCCGTCCATACTATATGTATGGCGGGTTCGTAAAAAATGCCCCGGTGGTTCCCAGCATGTCGGTTCCCCAAAAACGCTCCACCCGGGCCGGTCTGTACGAGTGTACCGGGTCTAAATTTACGATCTCCTTTGCATTTACTGCACCAGGTCCGTCAAAAATAACCCGGTTAGTTTTTCGATTTTTGGACTACCTTCTCAATTGCTTCAGCGGGGGGCTGCGCCCCCCGCACCCCCTGCTTATTGGGGCTCCGCCCCAAACCCCGGCCAGGGGCTTGGCCCCTGGACCCCGGGGACCCAGCTCTCCGCATGTCGCACCGCAGATTAAAAACGCTCGCTCGCTTCGCTCGCTCGCTTGATTATTTTTGTGCGCTTTCTGAAGCCTTTTGGTATCTTTGGTGTCAATTGATTCCTGGCTACTGATTCCGGATTAGCATTTCAGTGAGTGAATTTGCTGTTCTCCACAGTCTGCGAGGTATCGTGTAGCTTAGCTGGTTGCACTTCGCTGTTGATGGTGTAGATGATACCCAATAACTACTCGCCATTTTCTTTGCAGCGTCATGACTCCAACACCCCGGTTCTTTCGCGAGTTATGGTCTGGTGCACGGGAAGTCAACTACGGCAACACGGTGCTGGTGCATCGTGACGGCGGCCACTGGTGGATGGGCTACGTCCAAGACGTCAAGGAGCAGGACTTCCTCGTGGATTTCGACGCCAGCACAGCGACGCCCGAATGGGTTCATTCCAGCAATTTGTGGCCGCATCATTCCTGGTGGGATGACCTGGAACCCTTCGTCGGCACTATCGTGCAGGTGACGCTGCGGGAGCGCCACGGAGGCCCGCTCGTGTTCCGTCCCGTCACGGCCGTTGCGCAGTTGCAAGATTTCCTTTTGGCCGTGTGTCTGGATGCGAAACGCCCCAGCGACTGCTTTTTTGTGCATCCCACGCGGTTCGTTGACCACCTGCCTGTGCCGGGGGATGGGCAGAGCTTTTACGCGCGCACTGACGGCCTGACGTACGCCAAGCACGTCATCCACTTCCCCGCTGCTGGTCGGATGCGCAGCGTCGACTGCTTACCGGCGTTCCTGGAAAGCACATGCCGCTTGACTTTGGCGGAGGGTGACCATTTGATTGGGAATCCCTTGGTGAGGCGCGTGTATGGGGATTCCACGCCTTTCTACTCTGCTCCACGCCAGGAGATAGACGGCGTTCACGTGGGTTTTCGCGGGTTTGTGCGCGCGAGTATGGACACGGTGACGGTCGTGTGTATGGAGCTGCACAATAAAGCAACCGGACATCGGATGTCGTGGAATGAGAAGGCTCTGAAGAAAGCTTGCAATGAGTATCTACGTAAGCATCTGGCGGATATTGTCAACGTGGTTCCCAGGAAGTTGGAATACGGTCAGTGCCTGCATAACCAGATTTGTTTAAGTGAGCGGCGAATTCTCAGGGTATGGATTCTCATGGTATCACAGTTTAGCAGAGGCAGTTATGTTTCTCGTTCTGCATGTTTGGCAGTCACTGGTACAGTACAAGGGTCATCATACAGATACCTAGGTAGCGGTAGTACCTACTAATGATTGCTGCACTTACTACACAACGTTCTGCTGCGCTCACATGACTTAGCGAGCTACTTACCGAGTACGACAGAATATCTGTTTTGAAGGTTTCTCCAGTGAATACTCGGCACATGCAGAAGAAATGTCCATAAACGAACTCTCGCCTCCGATCCTCATCTGCATCTTGACCAGCGTTGATGCGGATAATCAGCTTCGATTCTCCTGGTAAGTTCGTATCAGCAGCCGTGCAGCAAACGTTGGAGGAGATTTATAGCTGCAATAGGATTCCAAAATGTTTAAACGTAAACAGAAGCACAAAAAGCCTTATTATGATTCCATCTGTGTTATTTTAGTTTTTGTACGTACGTTTTCACAACGAATTACAGCTCCATAATTTTTTTCATATGTTAAAAAGAATTTTAACTGTTTAAAAAGTTATCTGAAATTTGGACAACGCTAGAACAATGTTTCAGTGTACCCTAAAAAATTCTTTACACATACTTCTATGTACATTTGTGTACAAAATTAATACTCTAGGAGATCGGTACATATCCACATGTACAGAGACAGAGATGTCTCGGTATATTAAGACTTCTGGTACACCTGAATGCGTCTAAACTTTTCCGAATTTTGAAACAATGCGAAAAGTGTGCAGGAGTTTGCTGAAGCCAAAGTTTTCGTACATGTAAATTTGGTACCGTAACCGAGGCACTTCCCTTAAGGAGGGTTGTTGTAGACTATGGTACTCGTACACTAATAGCAATAATAATAACAACGGAATCAACATCATTAGTGGTTTCTTATTATTTTGGTGTTGCTGTTACGACTAGGGTTTGCGCTTTATGGAGTGAGATTGGCGGAAATATCAGGATAAGCGGCTCGTCATCCTGGATAGCGCGCAGATTTGGCCAAGAAAGCCCTACGCTCACGAATATTATATCGAGTTCGCTTACCGCCACTTTAAGCTTCAGACGACGCTGGACCGTACCATCACAAAGGAAACTACACGACTGGCGCTGATGGACGACCGCGACGACTCTCGATCCGCGATCAATCTCATAATGAAAATGGAGGCAGTCAAGGTTGTTTTAGAAGCCAAGGGATCTCGCCTGTCCTCCATCGTTGTGCGGTACAACGGTAGTGGTGTTGCGGAACGCTCGGAGACATTTCTGGCCGTCGATGTCGACGAGGATACCATGCTTGCTAACGAGGATGCCATCGATGTCAACGACGACCAGTACATACTGCGCCACGTGGTCGACGTGTTGAGAGTATGCGACGAGCTGACCCTTGTTAACTACAAGCCGTCCAAGTCGATCACGGGTTCAGTGTGGTACATGCTCTCTGGCTCCAGCATAACTGTACCAATGTCACTGATGGCCCGCTTGCGCTCTGACCATGACAAGATTGATCTGGGTGTGACGATTCCGTTCCTGCGGTTTCGCGCTGGGGAAGCCGCTACGGAACAGCGCCGGCGCTTTCTGGCTGCGGCCAATGACAACTGTCCGGCCGTTGGTGAAGCTGTGCAGCAGAAGGTCACTACCTTGTTTGCGCGATGGTTGGAGAAACTGGGTGATCGTGAATGGATCGGGGTTTGCCGATTTCTCAAGCTGTAAGCAATAAAAATTACTTTGCATTCCACAACTTACAGTAAGTATTTTTTGTGTAATCAGGTTCAACAGTCTGGGACCCGATGACAATCCGCATCGATGGGACACGATAGATCGATTTGACCTATCCCAGTTAAATAACTTGACCTTCGCAGCACTGCATGGATGCTTCAGAGACGGAAGACGACACCGAAAGTGAAAATGACATAGTCAGTTGGCGTGTCAGGGTGTTATACTGTATTCGTTAACTGCTGGCTCGGTTGTTTTTGTCGCGGTAATCATGTCGTTCTGGTTCGATCATGGGAAGTTTGTTGTCCTTGAAACGGTGTGAAAAATTTTTCCGGTTAAAGCAGGCAGAAGATTTTTGTGTTGTAAGAGTAAAAGTACAAGGCGAAGTACGAGTAAAAGTACAGGAATGATTGCTGTTCACAATTCATACGTACTCTACCGCCTCACCGGATAAGGGAGTTGCCGCACGTATGCAGTATTGTAATCGACCCTTATCATTCAGCTTCAAGGTCACCCTAACGTAACAGGAATTGTTTTGTATCTGTTTCCCTCAGGGCAAGCTGCGCAACCATACGTGATTAACTCAAGTTCGTTAAGTAAAAGCAACGCAGATGCAGGTTCGCCCTTACTTGTACCTTTGTAACACGTAAACAACATACATTTTTATCTAGTTCTAAATATCATGCTGCAAGACTCGATCAATTGTACTATTGGTGAGTCAGTTGGAATTACGGTTATGTGAAGGAAAACGTTTCGCTAACCTTATGTACTGTACTTACACGTAAATTGAATAAATGTACACTTCCACAAGCAATTTGCACATGTTGGCAAAAAATCGTTGTGTAGTACAGATCTAGACGTGTCCGGCGAGCCGCGGTGCATTTATTTTTTGGTCACACTTTTCTGACTTCCAACAAATGCATGTATAAGTAAACAGACAGACAGCATAAAATTTTGATGCAGTCCGGGGCGAGTTTCAAATTCCTTGTTAATCAGTGGAATTAAAGCGTAGGGTCATACACGAACCGGACCACGAAATCCGGCAGTCGTGCTCGGCCATTTCTTTCAACGCCAGCTCCACTTCCCTCTTGGTTAAATGGAATAAATAAAACATTCACACTTCAATACAACCACACTCACGCTCACCATGTTAGAACAACGCACTGCCACTGCCCTGTAATAAAGTAACAGAAATTTTTTTATTTTGTTATAAGGCCTGTGACGAGACTCGACTGGTTCGCTAAACTAAGTTAGAGTACTGGTCAGTCAGGATCGCTAAAGTGCTGTTTCGTAGGCTATAATCCTGACGAAAAATGTTATAGTTCAATCTACAATCAATCTCAAGTGTTAGCAACTCTCAGACACGTTGGGACGCAATACTATATGCATTTCAACGCCTTCGAACGAAAACTTGAGTCTGACGGTGAAGATGATTGTGCATACTGGATTTACACAGGAGAATTCCATGTAGAAAGCAGCCATGCAAATAGCCACATTCGGGGATCCATATGGAGGTTGACAACCAAAGTCACGGCGGAGCCTGACAAGGGCGTTGCTTATGTTTCTCCAAAGAGTGAAGATGCTCGTCTTACAGCAGCAGAAGCTGTACTGGTTCTGTGCTTCGTATATACCAGAGCAAGTAAGTGTTTTACATACGATGTTATTCCCTGTTTTCATATGCTTTTAACTGCCATAAACTGTAGGTTAATACAAATTGATACTTGATACTTGATACTTTGCGTAAAATAAACATGCTGTACTTATAATAAGTCAAAACATACTTACACTTCTAGATACTGTATATAGCGCACTACTTATTGGTCATTGTGAGATGAATAATTAAAGCAGATTACGTTGACCGTATTTTTATTATTCTTTGGTCTCGCAGTTATGGCTGGGAAGAAGAAAGCGCACCGTGCAAAGTGCTAATTATTCCATCTGGGTGGCAGGTCCCGCAAAACGGCTGCTTATTGCGCATCCCCACAACAGTCGATCCTGACATGAACACTCGCCTTGTTCTCCCATCAGGCACTACGGCTTTTTTAAGGCTGATTTTGTACCAACCCTCGAAAGGGTATCAACAAGCTGACTGCCACGGACTAATGGATAGTTTAGGCTCTATACTAGAAACCGGATACGCTGCCGAATGCACACTGGTTTCCTGTGATGGAAGCCAGTTCTTCGCCCACCGCGCCATTTTGGGAGTGCAGTCCCGCGTATTCAGGACGATGTTTGCCACGGACATGCAAAAAAAGCTTTAGGAAATTGCAATATGGACGATATTGACGGAGAGATGTTAAGCGCGCTCCTACGGTTCGCATATTCGCGCCGGCTTCCGAACGTCCTGGATGAGCGTGTTATGGTGGAGCTTTACGATATGGACGGCAAATAAGAGATGCAATGGCTGATGCAGCACTGTAAGGAAGACGTGATCCGCAACATCACGGTGAACATTGAACAACACTGGACAGTATATCTGGTTCGCGCAGCAACGTGGACTGGAGAAAATGATGGAGGGCGTGGTCACATTTATTCGCAATGACCGTTATGAGTTTTAGCCTTCGATGCACGGATCGAGTGCCGAAAGCCATTGTTTCGAGGCAAATTTACAGCTTTTTTTAATAAACTCTTTAATTTTCTCCATGGTGTGCGCTCTGCTGCGAAGAAGACGTGTCCCGCGTTACAGTGTTTAAGTATGCTTGTTGCATTTCTTACTTGTTAGAGATGATTTCATTACTTGTACCTATCTCTGTCGCTTCTTTCTGCTTGCATTTCCTTTCATAAAATACTGCTTTCATTCCGGTATTCGGGAACCCTGACCGTTACAACTTACCACAGAAAGAACATATGCACAATCTGTTTCACTAAAAAGATACTGTTTAACTAAGGGCGTCTCTATACACAGCTTTGTACACTTTTTCTTCATTTTTTACCTAGGGTAAGCATTGTGAATTTAACAGTCACAAATTTACTATAAAATTAGGAAGCCATCAGTGATTACTGGCCCCAGCCTACATGTACAGCGGTATTGGGTTGCCACAGAACACTTCGTTTACATTTCCCGAAGCTGGTGCAGTTTCCTTGGCAGAAGCCGCATTCACGCATGCCGCACGAATTGTACAGTCGCTGACCCGCTTGTACAAGAGACCTTGGTCATGGCACTGGAATAGGTAATCAATCGTAACTTAGGAGTCATTGTGGCGTCTTGGACGTATCCCACAACACCGGTTTTGATGATTTCTGTCTTTTGCTCATACAGTAACAGGGTGCATCGCGTTGCAAGGGGATAATAACTTCTTTATTTAAAACATCGAGTAGTATGGCACTGTTACTACTGTATACGGTAAAAGTAACCTTCTTCAATTTTACTGCTGTCCTGCCAGCCGTTGCGATGCTGCTTCGTATAGGTGCACCCAACATGTGACCCAAGGACACTTTAATCGTGAAAACCTGGCCACAGAATTAATAACCAATACGATTCTACTACGTAACTGTACACTGTGCAGTACAGAAACAACAAACGACGAGTAGGAAGGAGGGCCCTCATTAATGACACGCAACAGACGAAACGAGTTTGATGGCATTTTACCTCGCTGTCGTCTAGCCATGCCAGTATTAAACATAAAGCTACACTATTATTACCGATGGTATTATCACCAGAATCTATTTATTTTGAAAAACAGAATGCGCCGATTAACAGACTTATGTTAACACTCCAGCTTGTAAACACTGAACAATAACGTCTGTCTCGAACGAATTTTATTTGCTACGCCCTGTTGGTAAAAATGTCAAACAGTCAAAGCGGCAGTATCCAAAATCTCGAACAACGGGCTAATAAAAAATTAACAAGAAAACTAGTATAAGGAATATAATAATAAACTTAAGCTACCGAGCAATGGAAATTCCACTTATTTCCCCACCAATCGCAACCGTGTGCCACAGCGACTGCATATCTTGTGGGGAGATGGCGACGGTCGACCAGGGCTCGTCTCGAAAACAGTCGTAGATTTCTACTGAATACTGATCGTCGCCTTTCACATTTTGGCCGCCGCAGACGTAAATTTTTTTGTTTGCAACGCAAGCTGAATGACACCGTCTCGCTTGCTGCAAAGGGTGAATATTTTCTCATATGGAAGTTCTTATGTTCAAGCGAACACAGGAAGCTGTTACGTCCCATCCTCCTGCTGGCCTTTTGAACGCACCGCCAAGAATATAAACATTGCAGTCAACAGAAGCCATACTAAACATTTTTTGGCTTTGTGGAAGATGCGGCAAGGATTTCCATTCATCCGCCACCGGGTCATAGAGAGACAACTGAGAGAAGTCGGTGTTCAGTTTGTCGTGTGCATGGAGTATCTTCTGTTCACATGCAACCACTGCCTTGACATTCCACCTGCAACACAGAAGATGTCAAGATCGTAAGTAAAGATGTTCACTCGGCTGAAACCACAATAAATCAAGGATTTCTGGAATTTCCTATTCGTTCCGTCATTTCAAAACACAGACAAAGTATAAATGTAAAGTCCGTTTGATGAACAGCGGGAGTGCGACGGCGTGCAACCGGCGTGCTGCATACCCGTTGATTGTAGTTGGTCTCTCGAATTTGATACGGCCGTTGCTTAGGTCTTCCGCCATAAATTGGTAGTCATTATGTGTTCTACGTCGGAAATAATAAATCGTGTCTTTGACCACGACTGGAGCGCACCACGGTATGTACGTAACGTATCTTGTGTCCGTATGAAGCCAAAATGAATGCAAGGTGCCTTTCGATATAATTATTCCAAAGGTGCAGTTCATGTTGACTGTCGTCCGTGCCCGCTTGTAATATTATTTCCCTATTCGGCGACGTTAACTGAGGATAAACAAGTCTCAGAGCTCTCTGGAATAGGCACTTCAATAACTCGAATTTGGTTGGTGACCACTTCAAGAATTGCCGCCGTAACAATGCCGGATTGTGCACTCCGTGCCATCACAACAACATCCACTTTGCCAGTTCCACCAGATTTGTCGTAATCGAGGTGCGCGTCGCGAACTACTGAGAATTTGGGCAACAGCGCCTCAGCCGATATTCTACCTTTGGGGTTTCGTTGCAAACACAGACGGATACAGGCGGCTAACTTCTGAGGTATTTCAGCACTGACAAATGGCACATAGCCATTCAATATAAAGCCGGCAAACTGACTGTTGGGAACATTATTAAAAACTGCAGTTTGTATGCCATCCTTTTCAAGCAGTTTCGCATCCGTCTTGTTGCCTATGAGGCAATCGGCGATCTCAAGCATTATGCAACCTAAACTCCATATATCCGTTCCTTGTCCCGGACTGTCTGACGCAAGTTGCAGACAGAATTTTTCAGCATTTCTGGCGACATGTAGCGCGCAGTTCCACGCAGCTGCGAAATGTCTCCAGAGCACGTACTGCTTTCTTTCATGTGAACCAAATCATCTAAATCTCCGATCAGCAACGTCTTTCTACCATCGTTCCAACATTTCACAAGGATGTTTCTGGGCTTCAAGTCCCCGTGTATGATTCCCTGATGATGTAGGAATTCTAATCCCGTGGTTATTTCTCTACAGTATCGTTCAATATCTTGATATTGTTTTAGAAGATTTTTTCTTTCCTGGGCTTGCTTTAAAATAGAAGTGAGATCACCTGAAACACACTCCTGGATATTGGAGAACAGCATCTGTAACCACCAGAAAGGTGGATTGATGAATCGCCAATGAATTTCATTGACCTTTCTGCCGAAGTCTCGACAGAAAGGTGGATGTAATTCATTGACCATCAACTATCCACCAACCCACCTTTCTGCCGGTCGTTTGATCACAAGCGGTCACACATGTGCCAAAGTGCATGAAGTTTTTCCTTACCGCTATAGCGCTCCATCATTATTTCCACTGTCACCCCGCCAGCTGATTTTGTGACACGAACCTGATGGTAACGTACTAGGTTCTGATGCACTAACTGAGGAAGTCCCCTAAATTGAGCACACGTTTTCGCCCAGTATTCTGCATTTGTAACAATTTCGGAGTTCGTATCTATATCTAGATGATTAACTTTCACAGCTACCGTCTCTTCTCCGATATAATCACCGCGCTCCGTAATTGCAGCACTGTAGACAATTCCAGATGCTCCTCTTGCAATAAAACTAGTATTGGAGTAATGGTATTCGCACGGAGTGCCAAATATTTCGATTTCGCTTTTAAAAACTTGAACACCTTAGTTGCCATTTTAATTAAAATCTAGGCACAAACAATGCAAAACCGATTGCGTGAAAGGTTAAGTCTTGAGCAACCTCACTCTACTGGATGCCGCAACATGGAGGCCATATTAATATTTCGCTTCAGCATTATTTTCGATTTTTAACTTTTAAGTGTGTAAAGAGAAATGATTACTGTGTTTGCATTCAGTGATTAGATAACGGTTTACACCAGAATGAGATTGGTTATACAGCAATATCGCACACCGAAGAAGGAGCTTGCAGGTCGGCAGTGGCGAATCTAGGCGGGTTCGGACGGGGGGCTAGAGAACTCACACCAAAGAGGGGAGTACTCTCTCGCTTTTTCGGCGACCTCCGGCGTAAAAAATTTCGCAACGTACCCCCCTCTTGTGAATTTTTTTTACGTCCGAGTTACGGGGGGGCATTAGCCCCGGGAGCCCCCCCCCCTTAAATTCGCCACTGCAGGTCGGCTATGTAATGCACAAATTATTAAGCACGCCGCAAGCCGTTCAACTAACAGAGTAGAAATCATTATTATCTGGGCTTTCTACTGCAATACCCATAATTTCTCATGCTCTGTAAATAGCACTGTGCAACGGCGCTTCCCTTGTTATGTACACCGCTGCTGTCGCGCTGTGTGTTATGATCCAAGCTTTTTGACATAGAATCATAGAATCGAAGAACTTTCAGTAACTGATAACGTATAAGCGCGGATGGTGAGATCAATAATTAATAGTCAACTGGATTAACCTGGATTTACCATCGAATGATTGATGAGAACCGTTTTCGTAAAATGTAAGAAGAGAAGTCGTCGTAAGAAGAGAAATCGTCGTAAAAACTATTATCCCGACCCCGAGACACCCTGAAATCAAAGGTTTTAGTGCCGAAATTCCACAAATCCGTGAGAGGATCATATTTTGCGTCAGATTACATGACCTGCCCCGTTTGTCATCTGGTGCATCGGCCTGATTAAGCGGATGACTTTGGCAGAAAGCTTCCACTTCTAGTAGATTCCACTTCTAGTAGATTCTTGTAGCTTCCACTTCTAGTAGATTCTTGTAGATGCCAACGGCTAGTGGAAATTTGTTGATATCTACACTAAATCGTCGCGCTCCGAAAATCTGCGGGGCCAGCGCACAATCCGCTGCGGTGACCTCATCACCCACACAGTATTTTCCACTCGTTCTCTCCAGAATCGCCTCCAGTGCAGTCAGGCCTTTTTCGATCCAGAACACCTAGCGAATACGGGAGATGAAAAACAACAATCTACCCTAGCGTATTAAAAATATCGTTCTTATTATATTTATTTAGCTTGGCCTATGATGAGCCCCTTTTAAGCCCTTTATGACAGCATTCGTAAAACAAAGTTTTTATGTACGAGTGTACGTTTTACTGTGTACGCAGTCCAGTTTGTTGGAGAACTACTATTACGGCACAGAACGGCTACCTGCCATTTCTTTTGTTCGGCTTCGTTACTGCTGTACCGTTGCGCCACATTAGGTTCCTGCAGCGGTTGTACTCCTGAATTTATTAGTTCCACAATCTGCCGCACACGTGCTCTCATCAGCGGATTTTCGGGATAAATGGGCGGTTCCGGTCGCGTTTCCTCCAGGTACTCTATAACAGTCACCGACTCTAGGAGCATGTTTCCATCGATATACAGTGCCGGAACCTGATGGAGTGGATTTAAAACTTGTAGCTTCTTCCGGATCTCTGCGTCCTGAAGCTGTAAACTACGGATGACGTGCTGGTACTTGTTGTTTTTAATTGCCAAGACGGCTCGCACTCGCCACGAACAGGAGCTGACACCAACGTCAAAAAAGATAGTCTCGTGCTGCATTTTATTGTTTCTGGCAAAAGTTACGCGAGGGTTGTTGAGAAATAAATATAAACAACAATGTTTTAGAGGGAGAAATTGATGAAGTCAAGTTTATTCGTGATGGCCGCTACGAGTTTTCGCCTACAACGTAAAATTGTATCGCGGGCATGTCATTTGACGGATGCAGAACACCCTACGTCTATGCACTTCTATGCTCACTTTTTACAAAATGCTGTTTTCCCCAAAACTCTTGCGCTTTTCTTGCTGCTGAGAGCTTTAGATACATCTGGGAAGATGCACTTTGTTTGACACCGCCCCAGCCTATTAAAATGAGATCAAAAGCAAAACTGCTTCACTCGACAATTTGGCTTTACCCGTCCCGCGCACAAAGCAACCGCAGCGTTGATCAACTCACATACGATCTAAAGAAGCGATAAAAAAAGATCTGATCGAAATTTGCAGGCGGTCTCCGGTCGAACCAATTCTAGTCACCGAGGCATGCTTTAAAATGAATTTAATCAGGTAGTTTACAGACGTACCCAAATTTGCATAGTTTAATGGCGCAACTTTATCTTTTACTGGTCAGTTTGTTCTACAGCTTAGGACGAAATGGTCGCATACCCATTATCTCCACATTCAGTACGAATGCAGCGCAGTGCACTGTACGACTGAGTTCAAAATATCCGTTTCGTACAAGTGCACTGCACCGCTTGCGTACAGAATGCTGGGTATGGGGCTATGCGACCATTTAGTCCTACATTGTACATACTATAAACGGTTAATTATAAAATGGTCCCGGTTAACATTTCCTTGATAAAGGTCAGTCGACAGAGCGTCTAAAACAGAAATATTACGAATACGCATCACGGTTCAGAATAAAAAAGAACAGAAACCAGGCGATTTAATAATTGCGTTCAGAGGTCACTGTAAAATAGCCGATGAGAAAATACTTAATAAACTACAATTCTTTCTGAAGTCCTAATATGCTAAATATACTCTGTATGCATGTTTTAACAACCGGAAAATGCAGCCGACTTCTGGCACGCCAGCGCCTGGTGCTGGTTATTAAAATCAAAACAAAATCAAATTAAGACCAAATTTTGATAGGCTGCGTTCAACGAAAGCTCGATCATATAACATTAGCGAGCTTATCACATTGAAAATGGCTTCAACGTTTTTATTATGTTCTTTTAGACTGCATTTGATGGTGAGCCAGCAGATAACTGTTGCCAGAATAAATCTCAGCTAAAGTTTACGATAACATCGATTTGATACTATCGGAAAGGTAAGAAATATCGCTAGTATTTTCTATATACATGAGCGATGGGAACCTGGAATACCTACTCGCCGTATCGCGCTGAAAGTTTTGTTTTATCGGTACTGCACGACACAGCTTCGTGAAAATGCAAAAGCCCATTTTACTCTTTGCATTACCTCTGGGAATTTTGTTATCATGGGCAGCACCGTTGAACGGTTTACCGCATCCCAGCTGCACATACTCGCCAAACGGGGAGATTGTTCTCCACGGTGAGAACCTTTACGATCCCGACGTAGAAAAACTTCTCGATTGTAAGAAGGTGCCGAAACTGCGGATACCCAGTAATTTCGACGTATACCAAGTACCGACCGCTGTCAAGTCCATTGATCTGGGTTGCAGCCGACGGTGTGTACCGTCCGAATACTGCGCCCGGCTGGAAACCGGCTTCCTGCCGCTGCCCGCCCGACCCGAGTTAACGAGCGTGCAGTTTTCGGGCTTTGAAGGTCCCCTACCGTTCGGATGGTTTTTAGCGAACGTAAAAGATCACTTGACAACACTGAAGATAGGCTGCACGCCGATTGGTCATCTGGATGCCGATGCGCTTCGTGGATTCTCTGCTCTGACCCGGCTTGATCTGAAGCATGCACAGATCAGTACAATTGATCCCATTGCATTCGCCAATCTTGGCGCCTCTCCGTCCAAGTTGGCCAGTGTCAGCCTGGGCGGTAATTCCCTGCAGGAGATCGATTTATCGTGGTTTGAACCCGTTAAGGAAAGCCTGGTAGGCAACGTATATTAAATTACATCATTTAATCGTCTAAAATTCCGCAAATGGTTTCATAATATTTCATGCATATTTCCATGTATATTATAATTTAATAATCATTCGAGTATGTTTTATTAGGTAAAAAAAATATTTATTGTACATAATGTGGTGAATGGTTTCAAGTACATGCAGTACTGCTTACAGTTAGCAATATTAATAGGGATCGCTAATAATAAAATAAGTCGGATCATTTTATTTACTGTCCATTTGCGCAGGCATTTATGTATCTGTTGCCTAATAAAAAGTATTAAGAGAAGTTGCTGTACTGTAAATTTCCCAGGAAACAGTGGACAGTGGCGCATTTCAAACAAAATCCAATAAAAATTCTTGTATTACCTTATATCTTAAATTTTATGGTATAAAATCCGATATGAATTTTTATGTTTTGTAATGTTTGTAGACTGATCTGGAAGCCAGCTATCAAAAGCCGCCCATGTCGTCGCTGAAGCTTAGCGGTCCGGAATTCCAACTAGCCCTAAAAACCCTCGATGTCGTTAAAAATGGTCTGCGTGTTATTCCGCCGGAAGTACTGAAGGCCATTCGACCGCGCCCTGGCGCGTCTACGCATTTCGCCTTCCAGAGTAATGGGTTGTGCCGGGAGATGGATTGCTCGTGTTGTGCCATGGAAGGCTTCATGCGCTGGGCCGTCGGTATTCAATCGGCCGCGAACAAAGTCACCTTCGAGTGCGTCTACACGGTGGAAGATCCCTCCGTGTACGTACCCGACCAACTTTACCAGAACTGTGGCGCCAAATAAACCAAGTGTGGCGAAATTTGTACGAATAACTGCTATTAATTTTGTCAAATTTGATTGAATTTTTCTTCGGCGACGCTAAGGTTTTGCGGAAGTAGTGTACATACTGCAATGGCGGACTGTCATCGTTTTTCGTAACGCTTGCCAAGCACAGTTATGTTCGAGTGAAGGGTTTCTCAGCGAAATGTCTAAAGGGAATAACATTTGACGGAACGGCTGGAATAGGCCCACCATAGTTAATAAACTTCGATAAAGTAAATACAGTAATTAAACAATATGACGTTCTATCACTGCGCAAAAAACTGGGTTTGTCTGTATGTGCAAAAACTTGGCGATTGTTATTTGATAAGTGCAAATAAAAGTGTCATGGCCGGTTCTTCCATTTGTCTGTATTACCGAGCCGGGATACTGGTGGTCCTGGAAATCTTGGCGTTAATGCAGCAACCAGAAGGTGCGCATTTCTCCTTTGCCCTGAGCAAAAAACGAAGACATTACTAATTGCTGACTTTATTGGCAATACTTACCCCAATATAAACAAAACAGGCAGGCACGGAACGTCTTTTTTTAAACTTAACTCTGTTAATTAACGGATTTCTATGCATGACGAGCAAGGCCAAAAGGAGCGTACTTCGGTTAACAGCTACTGACCTTAACTGACATGAGCCCCCTCTCCTGCAACCGGAAACGCGGATTTTTGTCGCCATCACCGGCAGTGAGAAGGTCATGGCTAGCCTGGCTGAGGTGGATGCGCCCGCCCTGGCCGTGGCTGTTCATGCGGGCGGCCACGTTCACCGTGTCTCCGAACCTGGATGCGATATGACCCTAGTGTTTAGATTTGTCCTCACTGTTTACCCCTATTGGCCAATCAATCCCTTAAGCCGAAACACTGAGGCGCGCATGTAGGTGCTACACCCAAACTGTCACGCACTATTTGGTTAAAATATTTTCCAATTTGTTCGACTAAAAGCAAAGTCCCGTCAATGCAAACGTATTCAAAAGATAATTTTTACCACTAGCTTGTTAGATACTGACTGACAGGTTACGCAGATAGAACGACGTTTGCTAAACACTAAGTAGGATTGGCTATTTAGTTTGATTGCTGTTTTGCTGTAATCGAGTTGTTTCCGAGTTATGGACTATGTGCCAGACCAAGAGCGCTTTTGCGTCAGCGCTATCGCGGTTCTAAAACGCGCTTTCACTTACAGGCAATAACGAGGAACGCGCATACCAATAACTCCCGCGGCACATGGACCTACAAGAATAGTAAGTCCGTAATTGGACTGCAAGTGTTCCCCGAGACCATTCAAATGATAAGATATATCCCTGAGCGATCGGGATCTGTTTATCTGCCCGGAGTCAGCATGCGGGATCGAATGGGATGCTGTACTGACAGCGAATGCAGGAACCATACCTGAATGAACTCCGCAACGCAGTTGCAGGGCACCGCTTGCCGCTGCCGTAAACGGACCTTCTACCGGCATCAATGCATTCTTGGTCATGGCTTCGCTGTTTTTGAACACTTTCATAAGTCTGATCGCCATCCGGCAAATTTCTGCCGCATGCTGGTTGTCGCCTCGCGAGGGAATGCCGCTCACAGTCTGTAATCGCCAGTAACCAATAATGCATCCTCTTTGTAGATTTACGCCTACGATAATTAAAGCAACGAACTCACCATGTAACTGTCGCGCACCGTCTCCACTTTATACACATCCATTTCGTGAATGGCCCCGTCGAACGCGCTGAACAGCGAGGTCACCGTGCCGATGACCAGTACCGGTGAGACACTACTCACCCAGACAGTGAACCCGTCCAAGTCAGAGAAGAAGACGCTGACAGAGGAGTAGTATTCCGCCACCATTGTTTCATGGTTTCGAAGCTGGTCCACTACGCATCTGCGTCACAATTGCCATGATTTACCGTATTTAATTGCCATGATTTACCGTATTTAATTTGTAGTATAATGCCTTTCGATACATGTTTACAACTGTTTGCCACAAACAACAAGCGCAACGAAAGCAGCAAACATTTCGTTTTGTTGCGCTCGTCAGTTATCAGCGGTCACCGGCATTAATTTTTGGGATATGGTATTATTTTGTTTACAGGATGCAGAGGGAGCTTATTTCAGGGAGAAACCCTTATGCCGGGTGGGATGCACAAAATTGATTTGGTAATTAAGGTGTTATTCTTCGACTGCATTGACCCAACCTGGGCAATAGTTCGCTCAGCAGATCGTCGCACTTTTTCCGCTCGCTCTGCAACTCTGCAGTTTTTACGCGCACCGCTTCGTCCAGAGTCAGTGTGTAGGCCGACTGCTGTGTTTCTTCCACTGTTTCTCCCACTGTGTCGCGCCTGATCCCTTTTTCAATTTTCATGTTTCGTAAAGTATTGTGTATATTGCTTTGGTTGTATGTTTTACGTTTCTTAACAGAATTTTTTGGTGTTGGACACCAGAATTTTCTGGTGCTTGTGTTTCAGAATTTTTTGGTGTTGGACACCAAAATTTTCTGGTGCTTGTGTTTCAGAATTTTTTGGTGTTGGACACCAGAATTTTTTGGGGTGTTTTCAATTGCAGATTTTTTAGTGTTGGACACCAGAATTTTTTGGTGTTTTCAATTGCAGATTTTTTTGGTTTTGTGTTTCTTAATTTTCTGGTGTTGGACACCGGAATTTTCTGGTGTTTTCAATTGCATATTTTTTTGGTGGTGGACACCAGAATTTTCTGGTGTTGGACACCAGAATTTTTTGGTGTTGGACACCAGAATTTTTTGGGGTGTTTTCAATTGCATATTTTTTTGGTTTTGTGTTTCTTAAATTTTTGGTGTTGGACACCAGAATTTTCTGGTGTTTTCAATTGCAGATTTTTTTGGCTTTGTGTTTCTTAATTTTTGGGTGTTGGACACCAGAATTTTCTGGTGTTTTCAATTGCAGATTTTTTTGGTTTTGTGTTTCTTAATTTTTTGGTGTTGGACACAAACAAAATGCAATTGAGTGCACCGTGCACCAGTCCGTATGGTACTGTAGCCATGTGAAATTCAGCCGTTCGTGTTCGGCCAGATGCCAGTTGCATGTGACATAATGAAATTGCGTGAATGCTGCGTGTTGAATAATAAGAATGTGTGTTCCGTATTTACATAATTTAAAGACACAGGTCGCACTGTATAATTGTATACTTTCGGTTTCTTGTGTATTTCCTTTTTAGTAACAAAATACTGTGCAATATACTAGGTTTTCATTTAAAAAAAGTGTTAGCGTTACACTCATTTTCGGTTATCGGTCATTACACACTGCACAATAACGACACTAATAATATGCATACCGCATGCATACACACGTGAATAGAAGCGCTATCATAATTCATATAATTAACAAACTAAAAGAGGGATCATCACAGTGCGTTCAGATCGGTGTGCACATCAATGAAGTAAAGTTAAAACAGAAAAAGCAGTGGATGACCTAAGTACAGTGGGTGTTACGGTACATGACCGCCCATGCGGTCATGGCCTTTTCCAGGAAGGTCAGTCCGTCCTTGATCTGGAACTGAATCAATTTCTTGGCGATCGCATGCGGCAGATCACGGATCGACGGGTGGGTAAAGAGTTCTTCAAAACGGTTCCGCAATACAAGGTGCTCGCAAAGAATGGTCAGCTTTTTCGCGATGACCACCATGGGTCCTTCGGATTCAGAGGCTTTGGCAGGCGGACTGCTTTGTACTCGCCGTATGCGGCGGTAGCAGATGACCGATGGACGCGGCACCACATGGAGTAGTTTCCTCTGCGCGTCCAGCCACGATATCGTGGGCAACGCTGACCTTTTGGGTCAACCGCGGCATATTGGCGATCAGAGTTCTTCATGTCTACGGGGGACTGCAACAGGAAACACCAATACTCTAACACCAATAGCGCATGCAAATGTCAATGCATAACAGATCCTTTCCAGTTAGCGGAAATAGTAGCGCACAGGGGGCCATTTATCATCCGTGGATGCATCACCCATTGGATCGGCTTCCATATCCACCGACAGATCGACGTAGTCTTAATTACTGGGCAAAGGATCGAGGAATTTGTCAAACGGTTGCGCTAATCGCTTCCGGTGCTCCGGTATGAAAGGCATGTACACCATTTTCGCTCCCATCAATATACTGCTCACGGTCAAATTATACGTGTTCTTCACCGCATCCACAAAATTCTGCATGGCAAACTGCGGACTGCCGGCAATACTCCACTTATCCCATAATGTCACATGTATCCCTCCTGATAATTTTCTGAATGAGCTGTTGCACTGCTGGACGGTTGCACTCGTAGTTTCAATGCGTGAACACAGACGCCAGGAATTATCTGCTGCACGCTGAGCTACCATATCGCGCTTGTGGACATTCCTATAATCGAGCCGGAAATGAAACTGCCAATTCAAACTTATACAAATTAAAAACAATTGCATACTGCATTGAACAAAGGATCTGAAATAAAAACTAGTACTCGTACCTCTTTTCAATATGGTCATCGTCCGTGATGTGTATTCTTGTAGTCACGCTACAGCCGGCATGGATCACGCAGATAGAAAAGTCGTGTATCGCCAATGCAGAAGATCAACGGAGAAACAATCTTCTCTACGGTAAAGGTGCATTGAGATCCGTCATTCGACATCCTTGAATTCCATCAGATCTCCCGTGTCAAGCCGATGATAATAACCTTCCATACACGTAACATGGGCTTTTTCAGTCTACACAAAAACGTTCAGTCTAAACAAAATAAATGATTCAAAGATCTCCGAAACTGGAAAAATCTGTATTCCAGTATAAGAAAGCACACAGCAGAGACTTAACTATATGGCAGAATTTTTCTGATCGAAAGTTCGCAGCAAAACGGAAAACCCTTTAACATACTCGTGCTTGTACGGACTGAGTAACTGATAAAATAACACCGATAAATTATAAACAATTCTGGCAGCTTAAAAGATGTAAAAGATTATTTACTAAGCATTTCGTGCCAGACTTACTGATGTAAACGAAGAAATGAGCAAGTCCCTGCCTTCTTCGGTTTGCGGATCATACACCTTGAATTCCTCACCGAAATCACAGGACACTCCGGCGAAAATGCCACACGCACCCACACTAATAAACGGGATGTGTTTACTCCCGTTCCCACGTAGTGATTCATTGATAGCAATCCACAGCGATAAGGGAGTCTCAGTGGCGCTCACACAGCTGAAGTGCTTTAGTAGGTCTTCAACGGTATCCAGTATCCTGCGACAAATCATGCTTGAAGATCTCCACCGTTACGCCGGGCTTCAGTTCCCGTACTTTACTAAGGCATGCGTCCAATCGCAGTCGCTCCTCACATCGTCTTCGGTAATGTAAAAGTTACTAGCGAGATCCATCCAGTGGATTCAAATTATGATGACTTTCTCCGACTCCCTGACGTCTAACGAGTACGTAGCGACTCAAATATCCTAAAGTGTTACTTGCGAATTACAGGCATGGACTGCTGTAGCTGCCGTATATGGTGGCTGCCGCGCTTAAAAGCAGCTTTTAATTGTGTGACACAAGGTACATGCGCCATGTGGACAGTTACGTGGACAGAATTAGAAATCGACACGAATGTTGCCGTTGCCCGTTCTACACGCAGTTTCATATACTATAGATTTCTCCGTCGTAGACGTTTGACTAAGTAAACTGTACTGTTATTTTCGTTTAAATTATTGGAAATCACCATTACTGTCTGCAACGGCGTGATGATTAATGAAAGTTGTACTTGCAGTTGGTTTCGCCGTTAGTTCGTTACGTGCCGTGACGGTTTATCTGCGTTCTTGATTAATAACGATTATGGATTCAGGAGAACCAGACGGATTAGCGTACCATTCGGGAGTTCTGGAATGTCGTGTTGTTCACCGGAAACTAGATTCTGCGGACCCCGGGCGCTCAATCCTGCAAATCTTCTACGATGAGTGGCAGCTGCACCAGAGAGACGATACTATAATTACAAATACTATAATTGCTCTCGGTGCGATTGTTTTGCAGCCTGAAACGGTAACGTTTCTTGGTGCACCATTAACTGATGAGGCGATAAATCACCTACTGCAACAGAAAATTGCTTCGTTAAATATTTTTTCAGAACGCTTGCAAGTACTGAACGCCCATCATGGATTTTATCTCCTGCGGAACTGCCTGTCCATCCCGAAGCTCATGTACACGTTACGGTGTAGCCCCTGTTGGAAGTTACCTGAACTGTTGGACGAGTTCGATGGTCACGTTAAAGAAACCCTCGAAAAAATTACTAACACCAAACTGGACGGACTAGTGTATACGCAGGCTACACTCCCTGTTGCCAAAGGGGGTTTGGGTGTGCGACGAGCGCAAGCGTTGGCTCCTTCGCCTTTTTTGGCCTCCATGTTTTCGATCCGTCAGCTGATATCCCGGATCTTTAATGGCGATACGGAGAAGTTAGTTAATGATGCATGTGAATGCTGGAAGCGAGAGTCCGCCTGTGAAGAGTTACCTCTGGATTTGGCACGCGTCCACCAGTGTGTATGGGATAACGCCGTTATACAAAAAGACGTCACTGAGATATGGAGCAACGTCGAAGACAATAAGCAAGACGGAGCACAGTTGAGGGCAGTCAGCACGAAGTACGCCGGGGCTTGGCTTAACGCTCTTCCTGCAAAAGTATTCGGCAATTTTTTGGACGACCAGAGTTTTCGCATTTCCGTTGGACTGTGGCCTGGCGCTAAAATTGTCGAGTGTCATTCGTGTGCCCGTTGTGGAAAAGACGTAGCAGAGAACGGATACCATGGGCTGGCTTGTTAGAAGTGCATTGGTAGAAGGGAACGCCATAACGGTATTAACGATATTATCTGGCGAGCGTTATGTAATGCCGGGATTGAATCTTATCCAAAGCCTATTGGCTTCTTGGGCGAAAATGGAAAGCGTCCGGATGGAGGCACGCGCTGGAAGTGGTACCGCGGGCAGCCTCTAGTATGGGACGTGACCTGTAGAGATACGATGGCGCATTCGTACGTCGACGCGACCTCAAAGTGTGCTGGCGCGGCCGCTGAGCTGGCTTCTAGGGAGAAGATTGGGAAATACTAGTCACCTATTGATCGCTGTTTCTTTGTCGCCTTTGCATGCGAGACTTTTGGCACTTGGTGTGAGACCGGCATTGTCACGTTAAAGGAGATTGGTAAAAAATTGTTTTTGAGAACGGGCGAGAGTCGCTCGACTTGTTTCTTGTTTCAACGTTTAAGTTTGGAGATTATGCGCGGTAATGCTATGAGTGTGTTGTGCACAGTCCCTTCTCACGTTAATTGGGACAAATTCTTCATTTGATTATAACTGCTGAGCGAAGCTCACTTTGTACATATTGAGAAATAAATTCCGTAAGATATTACTTCGATACTATAATTGACGATACTATACTGACGATACTGACGATACTATACTTCGATACTATATTGACGATACGACTATAATAGACGATACTATAATTACTTCGATACTATAATTACAAACACCACAAGAAACTTTTTGGTGCCCAACACCAAAAAATTCTAGTGTCCAACACCAAAAAAATCTAGTGTCCAACACCAAAAAAATCTGCAATTGAAAACACCAGAAAATTTTGGTGTCCAACACCAAAAAATTCTGGTGTCCAACACCAGAAAATTTTGGTGTCCAACACCAAAAAATTCTAGTGTCCAACACCAAAAAAATCTGCAATTGAAAACACCAGAAAATTTTGGTGTCCAACACCAAAACATTCTGGTGTCCAATATTAGAAACCTTTAATCAAAAGAAACGTAAAGCAATACAACAACCACAGGATTCAAAAAGGGATCAGGCGCGACGGTATGGTAGAAAACTAGCAATCATAATCAATAGAAAAACAGGAGTGATAATCATAACCGCCGGCAACGCTAGGCCCCCTGCACTGCTGTCCAGGCCAGGGTCTTGTCCGCTTGTCAAAGCGGCGCAGTATGTTGTCGATAATGCTTCGAGACGGCGGTTGTTCGCCCACATGCAGGCGCCCGACGGTGGTCAGCATCTGTTTAGCCGTAGGACGGATCGCGATGTCCCTGTGGAGACAGTGGCTGACTAACAGCGTCAGCCCCGTTGCACATCGTTAGCCGCTGCTTCGCTTTCGGCAGCGTCCGTCTCCACCGCCTTGATTACCAGCTGGGAGGGTGGCCTGTTGGTCGACTGGTACACGATTAGCAAAAAGATTTGCCCGGAAGCGTAGATGTCATCCGGCGCAGAAAACTTTAAATTGTTGGAGGTACGGGGGTCCGCGTTACCGACCGGCGACAGGGCGTTGCTGATGGCGGCGAAACCAAACCGACCGATGCGCAGCGTGAAATGGTCGTCTATGAGGCAGCATTCGGAGCACAGGCAGCCGTGTGCTCGCCCGATGCTGTTGTGCAGGTATACCAGGCCCTGACAATAAACTCGCATCGTTTTAACGCATCCTATAACTAACGGTCATTTCAACGTTGTGACATACTTTTGCCAGATCGCGGGCCATCGACAGTTGAAAGTCCGCGTCAAGCTTCATTGCTTCCAGCAACGTCGGCAACGAACCGCGCTTGCAGTAGCTTGAAAGAATACACGCTTTGTGCGGCAACATAACCACGCCGAGCAGCGCATTGACATTGGGATGCTGTTAAACAAACGTAGTCTGAATTGTTGCGGATGACCGACAATAATTGTTATGCGGGCAGCCCGTAACTGCACAGCGGGCAGCCCGTAACTTTCCGGATGCGCTTGTACATTGTACAAGACCATCCGGAAACAAGAGCTAGAGTGTATACAGGGAACAAACGCAGACACATGCACATCTCGGCTACATGTGCATGTACGAACATGTACGCCTTGTACAAATTTCCCCGTTTCCACTCTAGCTATTGTTTCCGGATGGGCTTGTATATGTTATAATTGGCAAACTGGTCGTACACGTACCGCAGTCTTGGACACAAGCTGTCTTAAAAGTGGCAGATTGGGCCGGCCTTGAATCTTGGTCGTGGTTAGCCACACCGTTGTGTTCCGCCATATCACTGGATTTTTGACCTCTGTTCCGCCCATAACCACAACGCCATCCAGCTCCTTTTCGTTAATTAGCCACCAGTAACTTAAAGTGGCCTCGCTTCGTGTTCGCTTTCTGATGAAAAATCACTCATGCAGTCTTCGTAGGACAACATTAAGGAATGTCGTATAACGTCTTCTTTTTGGTAGCATTGCTGCCGTTAGTGTATTTATCTTACCGGATTGTTGCCCAGGTGGCCACCAAGATCCCCACCGCAAAAACCACGGCCACTGGCAGCGCTACATTCAGTACGGATCCGTTCAATGCTAAAAAAAGTTTCGGTTTCGCTAGACGAATCTTAACGCTTTTCGTAATAACGGTTGGACACAGTTACATACTGCGGTTCCGACATGGCCCTTCCAATCCGGAGAATCCACACAACGGAACATCCAGCGGCGGACTACCGGTCGGCCAATCTCGCATCGAATTGTTCCTTGGCTTAAAGAGGTTGTCCACGGAACGGTACACGGCAAACACCTGCACGGATATCTTAAGACCCGGTATTTTTAATATGTCTGTGCGTAAAGGGTACCACCCAAAGGCAGTTACACTCATGTTCTTCGTCTGTGAATCGAACATCCATATGTCGACGTCCATGCTGGAGAGGCCGCTGGCGTCAACGGTAACGTTAGTGTGCGGCAGGGCAAAGGTCTGGTTGAAGAACAGAGTAGCCAAGTGGTCGCCGGCGCAGAAAGCAGCACGCTGCGCATTCGTCTTTCGGGCACGGTATTCGTCCAAATTATCGGCCAGGACGCGGCTGATTAGCTCGATAGATGTGTAAGCCATCCGTGCCGGAAAACCGCTCAGCGGCTGCCAAAATTATGCCGTTAAATTTTCGACTATTCGGTTTATTCTACTGGCCTATCCGATGTTTAAGACCGCTATAGCCGACGATTAATTTATGATTATATATGCAAACCAAGACGTTTTGGAAATCACTTGCCAAATAAACCAAATGCAAGTTATGGATGTGGGTGTTTTTCAAATGATAGACATTTTATGATACAATTTATGCTGACCGTGGCATGACAGCGAATCACCGCATATGTAAAGGGAATCTGCGGTGCAACTTCATCTAAGGGATACAGCATAATACGAGTGATTATCGCATCGGTATATTCACGTGTGTGTGTACGTGGGCGACAGGCTGACAGCTGCTGCTCCGCATTGCTACATCCCTAATAATCTTCCTAAATTATGCTGTTGCGACACAAACACATTAAACTGCGCCTAGTGTATCGACATCTTTAATGAGCGCAGGTTGGCGGAAGGCTGCACTTCCGGTATGTGTGTGAACACAACGCAGTTATGAGAGCACGGCTACCATCGTACCTGGAATCCTGGCTCATAGGTGACATTGTAGAGATCGTGGGCCAGCTGGCGCAGTTCGCCGTTTAGCGTCCGCTCGTAGTCGGTGCCGTCGGATTCGTGGAAGGTTATAAAAATCAAATTCCACGTCAAGTTCAACATCTGCCGCAATACAAAACGAACATTACCTTCTGGTTTTAACATACGGAATGCGGAGATACACATTCGGATAATGTTCTTTCAGCGTTGAGCTGTAATATGACACCTAACTAACCCCTGTTTTTCGGCAGGCTTGAATATAAGGGATTGCCAATGGCCCAGGAAAGGAATCCCTGTATTGGCTGCCGTCACTCGTTTTTTTAGGTTTACGTTCCTGTTAAACATGGGGCTTATGTACCGCACTGCATTTTACTGCACTGCCGTAACGTCTAAAAATCGTCTCGCCGGGTGAGGGCAGCATATGCAGGAATTCCTGGCATCAGCCAGGGCCATTGACGTCTCCTTATATTTAAGTAGAATTTCTAAACATTTGTCTACCGGGTAATGTGGTGGATACTGACCAGCGGCGTAGGATTGTTAAACAAGGAAGCTTTGCCATAGAAGCTCGTTTGAGCAGGCTGAACATTGAAGAACACCTGACAATACAAAATGATGTTCTGTATATGCCTGCAGAAGGCAAAGTTAGGCTCATAAGCATCGAACGCACGTATTCTCCGTTGGTCATCCCCAGTTGGCTTGCCAGATCCTGTAGGAATATACTGTAAGAGCGGTTGTTTTATTACTCCTAAGTGTTACTTTATGGTACAGCGCGGAGAGGCGTGCGAAGTATACATGTAAAAACCAAAAAACGTTAAGCGGTATCTACAGAGTTGCTGCATACCATCATGGTGTAGGCGACAGAGGCGGTGGAGAACAGAAGGAAGACTGCAACCATAAGTCCTCTCGTTATTATCATATCGCTGTATAATATTTGCTTTACTTCAAGACATCAAGACACATGTTAACGTACCGCGGCTGTTTTCTTGGGCGCGTAGCAGACCGGCCACCATAGAAGCATTGTCGGTGGACTGGAAAGGAAAAGTCGAAACGGTAGCGTTACTATTGGCGCGTCCATCGATTAAGGGCAGCGCTTTGGCAGCGTTGAAGATGTCGGAGTAGAAGATAGTGGCGGCGCTCGTATCCAGTAGTAAGGTGACGTGCGACCAGGAAAAATAGTTGAGGATGCCCCATAAAGTGCGCGCCACGCTCACTTCGCTGCCGGCCAGGATCAGCGCGTAGGCCGGTGTCAACAGGGGCGGTGCGGATAACAGTGTAGTGAATCCACTAAAATTAAAGTACATTGCTTAAAGGAGAGGTTGAAATCCCCAGTTTAGAACGACAAACGCGAAATGAAGTTATTTCAAACTGAACACGATTCCATACATTTCCAATGTTTGAAATAAAATAAAGTCATTTTTAGATCGTTTTTATAATTTCATGGCAGAAATCATAAACCGAAAGAGAAAACGTCGTAGTGGAATAACCGTCAGAAATTAGCGAAACATCATGATTACACTTCTGACTTCAGGAATTTCCCCTCAATGAATAAATAAATGCAACAACTGTCATAAAAACCTGGCTAAAATATTAATTTTATTCATTTTATTTCAGATACGGTAAGTCATTTCGTTTTCTGTCATAACTTGAAGTTAAGGTCACACTATTTGGGATACGGCGGCACACACTGCCACACAGCGTGTCCCGTTTCTATGCAAAAACGGAGGCTTACGTACTTGTTAAAGAAGAAGGCATTCCACTCTGTAAAGAAAGGCATTAATACACTTTAAAGGCATTAACTCAATTTACTACAGTAATCTTACCGCTGGATAAGCAGAGCAGCTGCAAATAGTCCATACACGCTACAAAGGGAAAAGGCAGTATTACTGAGCCCATTAAATTCCGAAACAAGACCTTATCAATGCTGTGACAACAAGACGCTACGATCCCGAAGCAACGAACCACCCAACTTCTCTTTAGTACACTACGGTTATGCGGCTGTGCCGTTGCCGGCATAGAGTGATGATCAATCAACGCAAATCGGCGCAAAATTTAACTTGTGAAAAACAATAACTTTTTACAAATATGACAGCAAATTTAACTGAATAGCAAGCGCATTACTGAAATGGCACACTGCTCTGAGATTTAGCGATCTGTTTGTATAGCATGGAGAAGTCCTCGTATAATTATGAGCTGTTTACTTACTATTGGTGAAATAGATGTCGCAGGTATTCGGCGTGTCCTGGTCCAGGTTGTGCCGGTAGTAATATTCGGTAAATGTAGAAATCCCTTCGACGCCCGCTTGCAGGCAGGTCTGACTGTACATGCCCTCCACGGGGCGAATCACAAAACGCAGTCCCCGTTCACCATAACGTTCGTTAGCACGCTGCACGGCCGCAGTCGGGGCTGAAGACGACGATTGACCGTCGACCGACAAACATCTCAGTAAAATCAACATAACCAGCCATGCAGCGCTCTGCCGGCGCATTTCCGGCCAAGCACAGAACCTGGTCAAAGAGGCGAAATGCAGCAAAAGCGGAAATTATTTTCATGCGCAGCACAAATAAGAAGTGGTTCCGTATACGTTTTTTAGGGCACACTACTGCATATCTGTTGCTGCACAATCAAGATGGAATTGGTGGACTGCAGTCTTCAGGCGTGATCGCCTTCATCGGCTGGATGAAGGCATTCTTGCCGGATTGTGTGCGCACGGCGGTGATAGAATAACCGCTAACAACATCCACTTGATGGATTTCTCGGGAAGTGTATACTGCAACCCGCGCGTCTGATTAACCATAAACTCTAAGTTTCTGACCATTTCCAATACAATTTGCTAAACACTGGAAGTGATTTGTCCCTACTAGTGACTGCGTCAGGTGAGAACAAAGAAATGCGCGCGGGTTGTCAGTAGTTTAGCAACCGGCTCGAAATGCTGGTGTTGGCGTTGCGTTTTATTGTTGCTGCAATTATTCAGGCGAGCCAGGCAATCATACCACCACTTTACTGCCGGTTTTGACTATCGTAAACGGTGTCTATAATGGCGCGCCGCCGTAACGGCGCCTTTTAGCGAGCTCCCATGATAACAAACTCCGCAGAACCACTCGCCCCCGAAACTGCGTTTCGACAAAGCCGTTCGCCTACAAATTGCATACTCCGGAAACTTCGATCGCGTTATCAAAAAGTGCAAAAGAAACTATAAGGACAAGGTTCCAAAACGAAGGTTTTGTGGACCGGTTGCCGTTTTTTTCGGCTTAACGGCAAAAGTCTCAGGCGGTTTTGATCTTTGGGTTCGACTTCCTTTCTGGTGCACTGATTTTAGTTCGAAGAAATGTAGGAACAGCTGCTAATTCCATACTATTTGACTGTTACATAACATATGTTTACGGGCTAGTTCAAGTTGCCCTGGAACAGACTTCCAGGTAAATACTACGAGTAGTGGTAAATGATGAGTTTCCCTCGTAAAAGAAGCGCTGCATTAACACCAACACCAAAAACTTCTACGGATTTTTATGGTAGTAACGAGCAACGATAACAATATTTGTTTGTTTATATCCTCCTCTGTGGTAATTGGAAGTTTTTCATCATATACTATTGCAGTATGTACGCACAGGTAATGAAAATTTAATAAATAAATATTATATCTATATTATATTATCTAGAGTACATATATATATTATGTCTATGTACAAATATTGTATGTATTGCAATTGCGGATCTCGAGCGATACCTGTAACGCTCGCGAAGCACAATTATGCCGGTATTTGGTCATGTTGTGAAACATTCACTCCTACAACACTGACGAATCTCTTTGTTATTGGTTTTCTAGGAACACCTCCATGTCGTCGACAAAATACCGTGTCTCTTTTCGAAACCATGTGTCCCTCGAATATATTTTCTTTATACATACAATACACAATCTTTATACATACAATACACACTTGGACCTATGAATCGGAAAGTAACGCCGATAATGCCGCACTTAAATCCGTTCCAGCATTTAGCAGTTTACACTGACATTACTATGCACAAATAAACCAAATCCGGATTTCGTGGTCATATATGTAATATTTGTAATTGGACCTGGGACGCTTCGGAAATAACGATAGCAGGCAGCTTCTGACCTACTACTTGGTTTCGAAGGAAATCAAGTTTCAGAACGGTGAGTATAGAGCAATTCCATTAATTTTGGTAAAACACTAGAGCACAAATAGAATGCAACAGGGAAACGGATGTGATACAATTCGCGCAATGTTCTTTGGTACTGCTTTTTATGGATACCACTTTTTGCTGCTGACACACAGTGGCACTGACAACGTTCCGGATTTGTACGAACCGTATTGCGCCATGGAGACAGCAATTACTGCTCATTTAATCCGCATACATTAAAACGCATCTCTTCACTGATCCTGCACATAAATAAAATCCAAACATTGCAGTAGCATTACTTTTTGATCCAGGATCGTGATAGTGATTACTTTCTTCTACAGTGTACATAAGGCTAGGTATTACCATGGCTGCCGCAGCGAAAACTGTTCCACTGGAATTCCAGAAAGACGCCGTCAGCTTACAGTACGCAATCCCTACCAAGCGCTTCACGTGGGAGTGGGCAGCGACCGTTTGTGGGCGCCGTGGCAAAGTGCTGGTGTACAGCGCCGAGTTCAACGTCGAGAAGCAGTGCAGTTATCCGGAAATTCCCGAAGCAACGTGGAAGCTATCGCTGGAAATCGCGCAGTCAAACGGCGGAATTGTCGCAATTTTAAAGCCTTTACAAGTGGCTGATAATCCCAACGGTATTCTGGTGGAATTCACTTTGAGGTAAGATACACAAATAGTGCGCAATCAAAATCTCTTTAGCATAATGGACGATTTCTTAATAAAAAACATAAGGAATACCCCTGCTCGTTACTCAGTATTAATCAATGATAATTAACTTTAGGAGTAGTATACCAGTTTTGTCAATTTGTAGTGTCTGTTCATTTGTTTGTTTGACAATTTGTTTATTTGTTTCCATATATTGGTAACAACGTATCTGAATTTTAAATCTGAAAACGCTCGTTTATTTTTTAAAAAAGTTTGTAAAAGACTAAAAGTTTCTTGTATGTTTGTATAGCTCAAGTTGCCAAGTACCGTCCATCTGGCTTCCGGACAAACCGACGGAGCTGGCTGAATATCGCTACGAGAACGCTTACAGCTTAGACGATTTGGTGAAGAATAATTCAAAGAGTAACACCAGCATCGCCCTGTACACCCTGCGACAGCCACAGTTCCTCTATGTCGGTCTGACGTTCCGCATCACCCGCCGCCCACTGGAACTGCAGGGTCTCTTGGATACCGGCACCTTCACCGACTGCACCCTCATCGCCAACGACGGCCGCAAGTTTCCGGCGCATCGCGTCATTCTGGCGGCGCAATCACCGGTCTTCCTGGAGATGCTGAAGCATTCGGCCGAGCCGCCGTCCAACTGGACAGCGGTGCACCTGGTGGATCTGAGCGGCGATGTGCTGGAGAGCCTCATGAACTATCTCTACAGCCGGGGACCCATCGGCGCCACGGAGAACCTGGAGGAACTGTGGATCGTGGCTAACAAGTATGACATCAAGGCGATGAAGGTGACCTTGGAAGAGATGATGGTGGGCAAGGTCAACAAGGACAACGCCTGGCGTTATCTGGATTTCGCTCGGGAACATGGACTGGATCGGCTGCAGAAAAAGGCGGCTTACTGGCTATACACCAACTACGTTTAATATCAGTGCAGATTTGCTAAGTAACTCTCGGGGAACTCTGTTTTTTTACTTCTGCACTAATCGGTTTCGCCTAGCATTGGAGTTTTCTTGATCTGGTGGAAAGAAAAGCTGTTTCTTTTGTAAGGAGCTTTGTTCTCAAGTGACGTTTCTTGCACATTAATATTATGAAGTGTAGTCAGTCTACAATAAAAAATTCAAAATGGCTTTACCAGTTTTTTCTACATAAGCAGTTCTGGGAGACTGAGGTGCAGCAAAGGGGGAAGTTTTGGTTGCGTTGAATAATGGTCCAGGCCAATAATGAATAAATGTTTTTTAAAAATGCGAAAAACTGCTTCTTTCGTGACTTCGCCCTTCGTCGAAGATTGGTGCTCAGCCAAAAATCACAGACGGCTTCATCGCAGAAAACACTGTTTTCTTCGCATATAAATTCCGAGCAAGTGAAGAACTGCCACATGTATCCAGGTAAATACGTGTACATATACAGAGTCTGTACATGTACCATCACATTCATGTAATGCACGCCGCGCGGTAACTTTCGCGCACTCCTCCTTCTGCAAACTCAATACTCCTTTTTTAGCATCGTTTATTATATTGTGTAACCAAATAACTGAAACGTCTGACTTACTACTAAAGCGCCATTTGTAAGCGCAACTTCCAATTGGAAAGTTATTGAGCGAAATAAAACTCTCATATGGATGAATATGAGAGTTTTATTTCGCTCGTTTCGTTTTTATTATTTATTATGATATGAAATGATTCTCATATGGATGCCGATCTTCTGGTAACGTTCGAATGCAATCAGGTAGGAACGAGACTTTTAAGTCCATCTTGTAAGCTTTAGATACTTCGCAACGCGATGTTGTGCGCCATACCGTTTTCACTATCATCTGAACCCATCACTCAACTACTGGATACAATCAAGCATTTTTTAAAAAATTAATGTTTAGTTATTGGTAAGTAAAAAAGGTGAAAACGCGAGTTTGAACACAAAAGCCTGAATTTGAGGCCATGTACAGATACCGCGTCACTTTTATTCTTTAAGGACCGATCTTTTTTTTCTTTAAGGACCGATCTTCTTCGAACCTTACAAGTAAATGCACTTAAGTACGGAGATTGTTCTTACACCTAGTAAGGTTCTGACAATCTTGGCAATCTTTAAAATGAGTTTCAAAATTTTTGAGACTCTGATTGCCCAAAGAGATTTTATAAGCGAATGGTTACGATCGTTCCCCTACTTGTTTGCTTGTACAGAACAGTTTTTGGTTAGTCCGAAATTAATTACGTTATTTACGTATAAACTATAAAGCATGTTGGTCAATGTAAATTTCGGTAGCATATCAATCAAGTCAGTTTTTTTATTTGGACTGTTTTATAAGCAGACTCTTCGAAAATACATCATTTGTTCGGTATCGAACAAAAAAGATGGAAATTGGCAAGTCGCTTTGCGGTGCAAAAATTAAGGATACAACGGTTACAAAAATTTGTGTGCGCGAATTACAAGAGTGCTGGAAATCGCGGAAGTCGCAGACTACATTACGACTAGAAGGCTGCAAGGAACCGTGAAGTGCCATCGGTATTCGGTATACCGGAAACCACGCAATAGTCGCTTGGAAAAATTAGAATCGAAACTAACTCCGAATGCTACGCATTCACTACGTTTCTGTATGCGAATATTAGAATCGAAACTAACTGGAATGCTAACTGATACTTCTTACTGTACTTTAAGTTGGCTTGCAATTGAATTCTACTTATAAAATAAGCTTATAAGTCAGTACAAGGATTTTGTTTTTAACGAAAGAGGTTTCAATGCATCGTTTTCGTATCTGTCTTTTGTAAAACTACATGGAGGAATGGCACCATCCAGGTTGAAAGAAACGGCGGTTATTATCGTCCTGAAAACAGTAAAGTTTTCCGCAAAGTCCGACAGCAGTTGGATATCCTTTTCCAGCAAGGCGACGGTAGACCATCCTGTTTTTTGTTTAGTAGCGTAAGATTCTATGGTTAACGCATGCCAACCTGCAGCATCCAAGCCACCGTACACGTATATCTTGTTCTCGACAACGCAAGCTGTGTGGCAACACCGCGGTTGTTGCAGTGGCTCCATCTCTTCCCATTCCGCAGTTTGCAGATTCAAACGGATGCAACACGCAGTGGGAATTGTCTCATCCTCATCGGAAACACGGATCTCTCCGCCCATGATGTACAAGTATCCAGTCACTACGCTCATGGCAAAGTGCATTCGCCATTCGGGCAGACCAGGCAATGATTCCCATTTATCCGCTACCGTATCATACCGGAGCACGGCAAGAGTTGTCGCATAAAAGATATGATGACCATGTTTAGTCACTGCTTGGGCAGCGGCTAGGCCAATACTGTAACCGCAACGTTCGTTATAATCGTTTGTTAATTACCGTAAGCATTTCTGTGCACGGAAATGTTACTTTTTATATGCACTGGACTTTTAGCTTACTTAATTATTGACGTATGGACTTTGGGCCAAGCAACAATGCCAGTTGAGATATCCATAGCATAAAACACATTAAAGTAGTCCCAGAAGTAGATCTTGTGGTCTACAATGATGGGGCATGCGATATAGTATACACGCGCCGAAGGCTTCAATTTCCGGCAAAATCCCTTGCCTATATTCCACAACCTGAATTCCACCGCTAAGTCATCAGAACATTTTATAAATATTAATTTGTCTTCTGTCGCTGCTAACTGAATCCAGTAATACGACGTAAGGTCTGGATGTGCCGGTCCGATCATCTTGTCGTGAACACCGTGACAGTGAGCCAAAGGATCGAATACCAATAAATTTCGGATAGAATTAGCGCTGCACGCAAGAAATACAATCATAACTTCTTTTCTCTGTAACACCTGCAGAAGTTCTGCTGCGGATATCCGGATTGTACTAACTGGATGAAAACATCGCCGGATGATTTCCCCTATGGCCAGCTTCGGCAATCTTCCCATCTTTTATCAGTCTTTTCTTGAGTCCCTGGTGTCTTTCGCGACATTCGGCCTTTTCCAGAATTAACCTAGGCTCCAGATGTCGGTTTTTCGTCCCGGTGCTTCTGTTCCTTCTTGAGAGAATCTTCTTAGCATTTCTGGTGACATGTAGCGCGTTGTACCGTGTATGTGTGAAATGTCGGCAGAACAAGTAGAATGTCCTTGCAATAAAATTAGGTTATCCAAATCCCCAATCAGCAGCTTTTCTTGGCCACCAGTTTCGATCTGTACAAGGATGTTTTCTGGCTTTAAATCGCCATGGATTATGCCTCGTGATGCAGGAATTCCAAACCCTGAGTTATGTGCTTGGTAAATTGGATTATCTTTCTATCATTATTTAGGACGTGATCGTTTTGTTCAGCTTCCTTCAAAAATCAAAAGAGAGGCAAGGTCACCTAAAAATCACTCTTTTAGCATATGGTATGGGCAATCCGAGAACAACAAACAAACTACCGAATGCGTCTCATATCACCTTTGTGGCAGTCCATTGCTAGCTCAACTGTTACTCCACCGGAAGCTTTAATGATGGAAATTTTATGATAGACTACGACATGATCGCTAACCAATTCGGTAAGCTTTCTCAACCTTTTAACGGATTCCATCCAGCTTTGGCCGTCGTCAGCTGCTGCGGAATGGGCACCAAAGTGGGTCACTTTGGCAGCTATGACATGTCCTGTATAACTGCCACGCTTTACAACTTTGGCTTTGTAAACAACGCCAAATGAACCCGTTCCAATTAAATCGGCATGAGAATAATCGTAACGGACGCTTCGACCATACTCTTCGATTGCGCTGGGCGCGCTGGAAACTTTGTTCCCCATTTCAGTCAAATAGTCGAATTAAACTAGGGCACAAATTCAACCTGCGCATTTCCATACAGTTTGACTCTAAAGTTTCAACGTCCAAATAGAATTTTAAGCACCAAATTATTTGTCTAGTTTTTGTTGTATTAAATTGTCACTGATAAACACAAACTACAGTGTAAATGGAAGCGAATGCAGGTAAGCTGACTTCTTAACTATCAGCTTGAATCGAGCTGCTTGATACTACCGTTATCATGAAACCGCTGATAATATTAACACAAATCTGCTGACCTTTGTACCCTTTGCCTATACCGTTCAACTAGCCCTTTTCGGCTTTGACTATATCTTTGCGGTGTATGATGAGTGGCAAATTTCTGACCAACTTGGTGCACACAAAACTCCTGGATTTCCTCAACGGTTTACGCAGTTGTTTCTAGTCAACCCGTACGATCTGGTTTCGTTCTTGCGCGATAAATTCGACTGGTTTTTCTAGACATCGTAACCGTTTGTCGTCATTCTACAGCTGTAACTCTCATTAGTGCTAAGCTTGTTTTATATGTGCAGATATTTTGTCATGTTCGTGGCAAAAAAATATAAGCATAATCGACCTAGAAGATTCGGTGGTTGCTTAGTAAACGAGTACAGATAAAAAGCTTTGATAATACTAAGCCCTTCATATATTCATTTCATTTCGTATAATAAGCACTTCATGAATTATCAAGGCGATGAAGGCCTCCTTGGAGGAGATGATGGTTGGAAAGGTCAACTCGGGCAACGCCTGGCATTATCTGGATTTCGCTCGGTTTCACGGACTGGATCGGCTGCATAAGAAGGGGGCTTACTGGCTATACACCAACTATATTTAACAGTAGAGTGGATTTGTTCAGTATCTCTAACGGAACTGTGTTTTGTTCTTCTGTGCTACTCGTTTAGATATAGTGTTGTAGTTCTCTGGATCGTGTGGGAAGAAGAGCAACTTGCTTCTGTTACAAGAAAATTTGTTATCGAGTGCTTCTTATTGCACATTGTGCAGCCTATTTATTGTAAGACTACTGTAAAATCATCAGGTAAGTGTACAGTAATATAGCATTGCTTCCGCATTGTTAGTACTAACAACTACCAGCCAGCCAGTTGACATGCCAGAACTAGTTCTGGCATGTCAACACCGACGCTTCAATACGAGTCACATTCAGAGTCTGAATTTCACTTTATACACTTTTTCTAAAGCTTTAATCGTTATTTCGTTTGTTATGATGGCCGCCAAATTAGTCAGCCGCCCAGCACAATACCGGAAAAACGAATAAAAAACTAAAATTCACGATTTGTTAGACTATCGGCTGAGCCCCGTCATTCATGAGAAATAACTGGTGTTCTACAAATGCAAAACGAGACGGAAATTCCAAGTATTGGGACATATCCCAAACGCTTGGAGCCACAAACTTTGTCTACCGTCAGTATTCATATTATTTGGAATGTACGTATTTGTCATAATGTTTTGCATGTAGTTTGGATCTTGCAATACTGCCTAATGAACTTTCGTGCTATTCTTATTGACATTTACCGTCACCACTACAAAATCTTAGCGATGCAGTTCAAGCAGTTAATTGTTCAAGAAACACCGAGCAAAAAGAGCAAGGATTTTCACATGACCATTCCCTTCGAAGGCCGACTATGCTCCCGTTTTTATTTACACGTGTTGCGGAACTGTATCGCTTGCTAATTTATTACCATTCTTTGTGTTTCTTTTCGTTAAAAATTGTGTAATGCATCTTCCATTAATCGCTTGCCTCTGACGGGTACAAAAATATTTTAGAGATTTGGTCATGTTCGCGACAAGGCACCCCGACCTAACAACAGGCTGTTGTTTTTCTAATATAAAATGTTCAGTTTGTATATTTTAAAAATTAATAAATCTCTGCATAAACAAAACACTATATGAACAAAACACTGTTCTCGAATCGCCAACTTCTGAGTAATACTTCTTTATCCACTACAAAGTCCGAATAGAAGAATCGTAGTAATCGATTGTATGATATATAAATTGGTCTTGTAAATATACTGCAAGAATACGTACAAAATTGCACCCGGAAATTATTTTCCGATAAGGATTTAATTTGTAACACAAATTGAAATAGGTAGTTGTTTCTTGTAACATTTCTCGAGAATTGTCTCATAAAATCTAAGGAATGATAGAAGCGCTGTGCAGTGTGTGTAACTACGATCCATCCGTACGAGTCCAGATGCATCGAAGTTATGCACAGCGCTTCTATCGCTTTGCGTCGTTTTTAATAATACTTCTATATTATGTAATACGTAAATGGACTGTTACAAAAAACGGATGTACATACCTAGAATGTGACCCTTTACGGCTAGCCTACTTGTCCGAATCAAGAGTGCGTTCCGGGTTTTTAAAAACCGCATGCGCCGTCACTCCAGCAGTCGTTAGTCAGTTTTTGATATTCGCGTTGAACTGAGATAAAATCCGATGTGAAATACTTTGGGATTAACCGGCATCACTCGAATAATCACGAATCTAAGCAATAAAACGCATATTTTTTTCGGTTTACTCAAGCGAAATATTATCATGAGTGCAGTAGCGATTACCTCATCACTGCAATTCCGAAAATGTGCCGTGACCTTACAGTACAGAATTCCCACCAAGTGTTTTGCATCGGCATGGGCTCCGACAGTGTGTTCGCGTCGTGGCAATGTACTGGCGTACACCGCTCAGTTCAACGTGGAGAAACAGTGCGATTATCCGGAAATTCCCGAATCCTCGTGGAAGATAACGCTGGAAATTGGCCAGGCAGGCGGCGGAATGTGTGCAGTTTTGAAGCCCTTACGAGTTGCCGATAGCCCCAACAGCGTCCTGGTGGAGCTTACTATTGGGTAAGGTTTCCACTTTCTTCGTTGAAGCTGCCTAGTTCCTGCATAATCGTATATTGCACTGTGATTTCACACCAATTTATCAGTTATTATAATTGTTATTTCGCCAATTTTGCAAGGCCTATAATTACCGGGATTAAATAAATAAATTATTTATTTATAGTGCTATTAAAGTTACGTGTTTAGACCAAGTGCCCACACACCGTCCATCTTGCTTCCGGGAAAACCGGCAGAGCTGCCCGAATATCGTTACGACCACGAGAACAATTTGGATGATTTCGTGGTGAACAACTACAAGCGCAAATCCAGCGGTGCTATGTACACCCTGCAACCGTTGCAGAGCGTCTACATTGGTCTGTCGTTCCGCATCACCCGCCGTCCACTGGAACTGAAAAGTCTTCTGGATGCCGGCACCTTCACCGACTGCACCCTCATCGCCAACGATGGGTGCAAATTCCCGGCGCATCGGGTCCTCCTTGCGGCACAGTCGCCGGTTTTCCTAGAAATGTTCCAGCACGCGACCGAGCCGCCATCCAGTGGCGAACACCATCTGGTCGATCTTAGCGGCGATATGTTGGAGAATCTCATGGGGTACTTGTACAATCGGGGACCTATTGATACCACGGCGAACCTGGAGGAACGCTGGAAAGTGGCCAACATGTACGACGTTAAACCGCTGAAAGCGGCTTTGGAGGAAATGATGGTGGTTAAGGTCAACAAGAGCAACGCCTGGCATTATCTGGATTTTGCACGGGAGCACGGATTGAATGGACTGCAGAAGAAGGCGGCTGAATGGATTGGCAATAATTAGCGGCAATGTTGCGTTATTCACAAGGCATTTCATTGTTTCTTATTGCATTTACTCGGTTTCACCTGCTACTGCGAACTTTTTGGATTTGATGTGGGAATGTTGTTAGGGTGGTAATGCTAATTGTTAATTTAATACAAGCAAGTTGTATAAATGCTCTGCCGCTGTCATTTTTGCGACACTAAAATTTAGCATTCTGCTCGTCGAAGCTGTTCATCAACTTTACCAGTAAAACCTCTTGAAATCAATAGCAGCTTAATAACTTTCAACAACCGGCTGCCATTCCGCCGTGGGGAGTAACCTAATGCAGCGTAATTGTTATGCGAATACTTAGCAACATTCAGATCTTGCGCACTTCTTCCGCCCGAAAGTATCAGATGAGCACAGTTACCACACCTCTCTACAATGTATACAGTGTTTGCTTTTTTGTAATCTGGGAGAAATCTGCCGTCAGTTGTGAGATGTGATGACTTACAGTTCAATATCGAGCAAACTCTAATAGGTGATAAGTGATAAGTTATAACCTGCAATGTGTGCGTGAAGGTGACATTAAAAGACAATCAAAAAACCAGTTTCACCTTTGGTATAGTGCTATTAGTTCCCGACAAGTATTGGCTGGGAACATTTGCACGTGCTGGTTTTCCTGGTAACTCAGTGTGCTAGCGCCTTTCCTGCTCTCAACAAATTATCTCCAGCGTTGCCTTGCATAAATCCGTTCCAGCCAGACACAGTATACAAGGAATTATAACCAGGTGCAAAGTAGGATTTTGATAGAGTTATCGTACCGCGGATGATACAGGAACGATACATGTACCGGAAGTGTAGATGGAACACATTAAAGAGTGAGCACGCACGACAGTAGCGGGTTAGCTAAAAACCATGTTGGTCAACATGCTTTGTTTCTGTGGCATATTAGTCAAGTTCCATATTCAATAGTCGGTTGGCCTTTTCTAAAACTGTTTAGAACACAGATTTAGGGAAAACGCGTTATTTGTAGAACATCGGAGTAAACAGATGCAAACCGGCAAGCCGCTTCTCGGTAAAGAAATTTATAAATAAATCTCAATAACCGAGTAAATGTACCGAAATTGTGCCGCCAAGTAAACGGACGGCGGAACTATGTGGCGCACTGGCTTCTACTGTGCCATGGTGCAACGTGCATTCGTCTGTCTGTTTTTGTAAAAAAATATTTGCTGGATTGTTTTTACTATCACTTCTATGTCGATAAGTTTTTGTGCTACGGAAATTACTTTAATTTTATTGAAGTCCTCATTCTGCACTAATTTTGTAACTCTTCTTGAGTGGATGTATCGTACCTGTACGAGTCCCTATTCTGTCATGTTCATGGTAGAAAAGTTTAACATTGACCCTGGAATATTCTGTGTTTCTTTGACATGCTTCTTTGTCATATAATGCAGATAAAAAAGCTGTGTTTATTATACTGGCTTCGTTTCTCGACTTATACGTTAGTTATCCAAAATACCGCGATTAGTTTCGAATTTCGGTGATGTTGCACCGCTCGTACGGTTTCCTTATTCGCACTCTGAATTCGGAATGATACCGAATCTGAGTACGCTCAAACAGCGCTTCGTATCCAGTGCAACCAAAATTTGTGATCATAATAATGATTAAATTTTGACCTGCTATACTGTACATACCATAAAAAATCGAAGCACGTATTATTCGACATGACTTCTTTGCCGGTACTGCTCAGATCCACTTGGTACCGTATATCCGGTGTGTGTACAAATGGAACGTAACAATAACGCGGATGTGATGCGAGGTTTTCAGTCTTTGTTGGAACTATGATGGTGGATCTAGGAAGAATCCACGGACAGAGACAGAAACGGAATCTATCCTGCAGAGTGAGCAGTGTTGTATACTACGAGTTATGCGGAAACGCAAGACACCCGACAATCAACTGCACACTTTATATCCCATTCATATGACACTACAGAAGCTCCCGCAGCAGAATGCTGCGGGGCCAAAAGTACAGCAAGTTACTCAGACGACGATGGCTAGCAACTGAAGAATCTACCAGATTGAAGATCTGGTAGATGAAGAAATTCAACATCAAAATACAGCAAAACTTAGCACCCGCACCAGTGCGGGCGTACGGGAAGGCCACTCCTCCTCACAGAACTTAAAAATGACCCTTTACTAATAACTGTCTCTGACCGAACCAGGAAAACGTTCCGGATCTAGAAAAAGTGAATGCGGTCCCGAGACAGCAGTTAACCTTGGTAATTTATGTATCACTAAGATCAGTTTATTGGCCGTTTGCTGTCAAATCTTTTAACCGGCAGCACATCAACATTTTTCGGATTCAGTATCATGCTGATGATTCCCTTTTTAACCGGCACTCTCAAGCCAAGTATTACCATGAATGACAATGGCGTAGAGAATACAGGAACACTGGGATTCCGAACTTGTACTGCGAACCTACAGTACCAAATTTCTACAAGCCGCTTCACGTCATCGTGGGCCGAGCCGGCTAACCTGAACCGTGGCCCCGTACTGGTTTATACCGCCCACTTCAATGTGGAGAAACAGTGCGATTATCCGGAAATTCCCGAATCCACGTGGAAATTGACGCTGGAAATTGTGCAAGCCTCCGGCGCCGTTGGTGCAACCCTAAAGCCTGTACAAGTTGCCGACAGTCCGAACAGCGTTTTGGTGGAATTCACATTGGGGTAAGATCCGCAATTTTGCCTAGCGCAATTTTTTCTTTATTCTAATACTTCATAGCAATACTCATTTTTCTAAGAGAATTACGCATTATTACAAAATTCGTACCACATGAATAATTTTTGAGTTGATACTATGTAGAACTGAAAACTATACCAGCACATTTCGTTTTAACGCATATTACACACATTCACTCTCTGTTTGCACACCGTACCGGCTCTTGTTGCACGCTGTTGTTAATTTAATCTGTCATATGCCTTCGATCGCGGACCGAATGACAGATCCCCATTTGTTTTACGCAAACATTAAATGTGAACCTTTATTATTTGTTTGTTTAGATCAGGTCCCAACATACCGTCCATTCGGCTGGCGAGGAACCTGGCAGACCCAGCTGAGTTGCCGACAGTCCGAACAGCGTTTTGGTGGAATTCACATTGGGGTAAGATCCGCAATTTTGCCTAGCGCAATTTTTTCTTTATTCTAATACTTCATAGCAATACTCATTTTTCTAAGAGAATTACGCATTATTACAAAATTCGTACCACATGAATAATTTTTGAGTTGATACTATGTAGAACTGAAAACTATACCAGCACATTTCGTTTTAACGCATATTACACACATTCACTCTCTGTTTGCACACCGTACCGGCTCTTGTTGCACGCTGTTGTTAATTTAATCTGTCATATGCCTTCGATCGCGGACCGAATGACAGATCCCCATTTGTTTTACGCAAACATTAAATGTGAACCTTTATTATTTGTTTGTTTAGATCAGGTCCCAACATACCGTCCATTCGGCTGGCGAGGAACCTGGCAGACCCAGCTGAATGCCGCTGCGAGAACGAAGGCATTTTAAGCGACTTAGTGGTGAACAATTTCCAGCGGAAGACCATTGGCGTCGCCACGTATACCCTGCGGCGGCTGCAGTCCTTGTACGTCCGTCTGGCGTTCCGCATCTCGCGCCGCCCCTTGGAATTGCAGAGTCTCCGGGATGCCGGCAGCTTCAGCGACTGCACCCTGATCGCCAACGATGGCCGGAAATTCCCGGTGCATCGCGTCATTCTGGCGGCGCAATCGCCGGTGTTCCTGGAGATGTTCCAACATTCCACCGAGCCGCCGCCGGCAGGCGGCGAGTACCACTTGGTGGATCTTAGTGGTAATCTGCTGGAGAGTGTTCTGAACTTTTTGTACAACCGGGGACCGATCGGTGACACGGCTAACTTGGAGGAATTGTGGAGCGTGGCCAAACGATTTAACATCGAAGCGATGAAGGGGACCTTGGAAGAGATGATGGTGGGAAAGGTCAACAAGGACAGCGCCTGGACGTATCTGGATTTTGCTCGGGAGCATGGATTGAAGGGATTGCAGAAGAGGGCAGCGACTTGCATTGGCAATAACTGAACGTAATTGTCGTTGGTTAAATTGTTTACTGTCAGAAGTTTCGGGAAAATTCGGTTTTGTACATTGTGCTAGTTGCTGCATCTGGTGCTGCAGTTTGCGGGTTTTCAAAGGGAGATAATTCTTGTTTTCTTGATAATACCTGGGGAGGTATGATTGATCAGTTGAAGTTATTGATCTTTGCTTGGCGATGTTTGAAGTACGTAGATCATGTCGGCTATTTAGCAGATAATTTTTACGATTGTGCCAGTTAATTCTGGGTGGCTGAAACTCAACGATGGTAAAGTTTTGTTATATTTTACAAGTTTAGCTTACTGGAAGGTTGTATGTACAACAATTTAGAGAAATAACAATTTTTGATTTGAGTGCATTTTAGTTTGCATGTCACAGTAGCGCAAAAATTAACATACTCTTCCAAAACATGATTGCTCTAAAATGCCGAAACCATGTTGATATTTCCCTCGGTTTGCACCAGTGCGGGAAACATTGTTTGTTTATTTCTGTTTCTGAACAAGCAAAAAACTGCCGTCTATCAATTATTGATTCTGTCTGTCGCTTATACCTTAATGCCCAACAGAATCGCATATTGTTCTTACTGACCCGCTCCACCACCGTTCTCAAAAACGATGCAGTATAAGTAGTTGAACACTTAATAAAGTTGAATAAACAAAAAACGGAAAAATAGCGAGCTTTTATGATAATTCCTTAAAAGTTGGTTTACGAAGGACAGTATTTCGTTTATGCCGAGCTTTCGAAAGAAATAAATAACATTTGCAAATGATGACATGTAATGAAACGTAAACATGCGTCACTAAAATAAGATTATTACGATTTTTCGCTTTTTGAAAATTAATAAAAGCATGCAATGGTCAAAGGACGATGACTTCTGGTTCTGCTAACATCACGAAACCTTTGCACCCGGCGCTTTTCCCGGCAGCACGGCGTTCTGACGCTTCTTGTTCCACCCGCAACAGAAAGCCTGCAGCGTTGCCTTGCGCAAATCGGTCACAGCCAGACACAGTAAACAGGGATTCATGACCAGATCCGCCAGTGACAATCCATAGGAGAATATCTGCATCGTATCGGGGGAGAATCGCAATTTGCCCATCACCAGCATGGTAAACGACACCGTCACCGGCACCCACGATACTGCTACCGAGAATGTGATAGTCGTCAGTACTAGGAAGGCATGGAAGTCCTCCCTAATCAGCGCCCGTAATCCTGGATTTTCCGCACTAAAGGTCAAAATTACGTAAATACGAGCACTTGCAAAGCAAGTATATGTCGCATTATTAAGCACTTCTTCTTCATGTAACTTTTTAAACGGTAATTGTTTTTTTGCACAAACCTTAGAAAAAATAGTTTACGGGGAAATATTAGGTACAATACTGGACTAAAAAATGGAAATGGGCCTGTCGGTCTGCGCTGCAAAAATTCATTAATAAACTAGTCTAACGAAACAGTGTGTAACAGGAACATAATCAATGAGCATAATCAGCAGTTTTGGTTGAAATAGCAGCGAACTGCTTTGCGCATTATATGTTACAAGGAAAAATCTATTTTGTTGTCCACATTGTGTAAGTGCCACATTAATTGCGAAATTTAAAAAAAAATCGATTGAGTTGTACCTTAATGCTTTCCTCTTTTTCGACCGTTTCAGTTGCTGGTACAATAAATACGGATAAGAAACAACGACGACAATGGTGGGGATAGTCAGAGTAATAATCATATCGCCGAACGAATACCGTCCCAACGCTACCATGTCGGTTGTGCACGACACGAACGGTTTCGCCGGAGTTGCCGGTTTATACACTGTATTAACCACAATTGTCGGGATTCCGATAATATACAGCACAATCCAATTGGCCGCGATGATCTTAATAGCCAGCCGCTTCGTATGGCGTTCCTTATACGAGATCGGAAAGGTCAGCGCCCAGATACGGTTCAGACAGATCTGCAGCTGGGCGTTGGACCATTGCGGACTGATCAGCCATTGCGCGCACTGCTGCACATAACATAAGGCCACGGTAAAACTCCCGTATGTCTCCAGAATCGTCAGCAGAAATTCGATGGAGGCGTACAGGAAGGAGGCGAACATAACCACCACAATGTACACGGAGAACGGTGTCTGGAGGTTTTTGTGGGTGAGGAGAATGACCAGTGGTACGAAATTCAGCAGCATGGCAATGGGATCGGCGATCATTTTGAAAATCGACAGGATGTGTTTTTGTGTAGCGACCGGCGAGTGGATAGTGCCGTTGGCCGCTGCTGCGTCGCCGGTGGAAGCGTTGACCAGCGAACACTCTGATGTCGTGTTTGTAACGTTCAACACGTATTCCATCGTTGAAATCAGTTTGTAATGTCCTGCACGGCAAACGACGCTGGTTGTGAGTGATCAAACTTCTTCTTGCTTTCCTCGATAGTCGATACTAAGATACAAGAATGGGATATGCGACGGCTTGTAAGGACTTTTTTTCCAGCCAGTTGCCAAGGTCATTAATTACGCCATCATAAACGCATACTGAGTTCGAATCTCCGTTTGCCGACTTCCGTTGCGTATTGCGTTTCTCCAGGTGCGCTTTTGTGACCGTTCACACACTAACAGCATGACTTGCAGGAAGTTAATTACGTAAATAAGCAACGAGCCGTCAAATGATTTGGATGGGAAATTGGTTTGACTGTTTTGTTCTTTTCGGATAACACGATTTACGTCATAGTCAATGTTTGTAAAGTCAGCAGGTTGCAATAACGTAATTGTTTGTTCATTTTACCGGAAACATTAAAAAGCGTCGGGAGATACAGCGCATCGAGTTGCTGTTAATGTTCGTTTAAATTTAAATTATAAAATTGCTTTTCTGTAAAATCTAATGAAATTTTGCAATAATATGACTATGGTGAATTCATCAACATCTCCAGGGTCTGTGCACAGAAATTTAAAAAAAATGTTGTACTGCGTAGGACTGAAATATTAATGTTGAAAAATACAGTGACTGACAAATAAAACTGGTCCACAAAAGCCGTTGATAGTTTTCAACTTTTTACAAATTTTAAAATCGAAATGTTCTTATATAAATGCATCTACCGCTTTTACCATAGTTGCCCCATAATTTAAATTTAACATTTTCGATTTCTTTGTTTTTTTATCCGTTCCATCACACTTATCGAAACAGCTTCCGTGTATCAAAACAGTATCCGTGTGTCGTTTCCGTCTTATCAAAACAGCGTTTTTCCATTGACATAATTTTAGTATGGGGTTATAGAAAATAGGGAAAACGCGGGATCCATTTCCGCGTAAAAGGGGAAATGGATGGCAAGCTTTGGATAAAATGTCGGTAAGCTACCCTTGAGCTGTCGATGAACAGCTGGCTAACAGGCAAGCCTCCAGCTCGGTTACGGTTTAAAGTTTTAAACATGGGAAAAGGTGTTGTCTTCAGGTTTGATAAAAATCTTCCGTTACTAGTTCCGTAGAACAACCACAGAATATAGGTACGAGTTCGTAGATTCTTGTGCCGGTTGTGTCATGTGCTACATTTTTGTAATTTTTAACGTGGCGCTTATTTGTAGTGGCCATGGTTGGGATTATATAATTATGTCAAAGTAAAGGAATACTACTAGTACGTCTCGGTCTGCCTTTTTCTCTACGCTGTGTGAAACAGACCGATGGAGGAATCGATCACTCGATCTGTCTGTCTGAATGGTGTCTGGCCGATGTCCGTTCGATTTCTCGCGTTCAGAACTTCAGACGCGCATGTGTGAAGGAGAGAGAGAGAAGACCAAAACTAACCACTAGTGCACTAACCAATAGTGCACACTCGTTGTGGCTAGATGGATAAACCTTTGGGTTTTGAAAGATAGTCTACATCGAGCGCGGTTTGGACTTAGATGGGTGACCACTCTGAGTTCAGGCTGCGAGTGCACGGCCCGCAAGGCCGGCCTGTGTGCGACGTGCTTGGCTGAGGCAGCAATACCACCACGGAGACGGGCACGGGAGATGGAGGATCACAATACCACCCTGGCTACTCAGTAACGGCTTGGACTGAAAGGCTGTGATGTCCGCAGCACCAATCGTGCCAAATGGAAGGAGACAGGGAGATCAGTCGAAGCAGAGGATTGGCGCCTTCCCTAGAGATGTGCTTGCTGTCTACCTGTTTAGAATTCTCTTAGTCTGGTTCTGTTGAACGTCTTGCTCTGCCCGAGCCGGTTTAATAGCGCCATTGCGCGTTAAATAAAGCTGGCGCTCGCGTTTGCGAGCTGCTGCATACGATCTGTCTGTTGCAGTGTTATAGCCTCCATTGTAACTCTGCGTGAATGAATTACCGTACTTTGCACAAAATGTTCTGTCTGTCACCTGATTAATGCATTGCTGAACATGTAAACCGAGCCGTTTTCGAAACAACTAGCCGCATAAAGCAATCGCAAAGTACCGGCTGTGTTTTTGACAGAGAGACCATGTGCTCCAGCCCGTACACGCATCGGAAGTTGAATCGAATGAAGTTGAATTATGGAGATGAATTTCGCAGAACATGCTGTACAAGTACCGTACACTGTTGCTAGCACATACTGACTCTGTAATAGTGTATTTCAACTATTTTGAACACTCAGCTTCTACTTTATTTTTTATCGTATAATTTTTCCCTTTTGTTATTAATTTACTCCGCTACGCATAAGTTGTAAAAGATGTCGTGGAATTCAACAACATCCTACGTGACCGTGCAATATACGATTGCCACGAAGAACTTCATCCGCAGTGTGGCCCCAGTGTGTCCGCGTAGGGGATTTGTACGTCGCTACATGGCCGAATTTACAGTAGAGAAACAAACGAATTATCCCGAGATCCCCGAAGCGTCCTGGACAGTGACGATTGAAATCGGGCAAACGGCCGGAATTACCAGCATTGATGTTAAGCCCAAGGAAGTGCTGGAAAATGCTGACGGGATTTTGGTGGAAGTTTCTTCTAGGTAAAACGATACGCTATGTCGAGTCGAACTCGACGAGTAAGTGCATACGAGTAGCACACGGATTCTCTGATTATTTTTGCATAGTTGTATCTTTAATTTTTGTCACTTTTCGTAGGATTTATGTTTATGTAAAAGTGGTGTAATTCCAGTATTTTTGCAATGAATAAGCGAAATATATGGCTGTAAAATCAACACAGCGCAAATGTACGAATTTTTTTATCAGTTATTAGGCTATGGCGTTCCCATTTGTTTTATTAAGATAATTTTTAGAACTGTTCTACTTGTAGTTATCGACAGATCAAAATATTAAATACAGCCAGTTTTGATTTATCAGGCAACTTTCGATTGTTGCTTGTGCCAGCAGCCTAAGTTGAATATACCAGAATCAGAATGTATTGTAAATGATGTACGTAGTGATCTGCAAAAGTACAGAAATAATTATACTGTACTTCTATTACTAACTGCGAGAATCATTATAATCATTATGAATTCAGGCTTATACAGTATCTTTCTTGCTTTTGCTATAATATAAATTATTACTTGTTTTATTCTTGCTAGATACTGGATATAATTTTTTTGAATTAAGCTAAGACAAGCATCCGCATTTTTAGTTTGATCCAATCGAAATCAGCATACTGGCTTCCGCGCAAAGGCAGCGGCCCGCCGCAGTACCGCAACACCCACCAGATATCATCCCTCAGTGATCTCGTAGTGTTTAATGACCAGGAGGAGAGTATCAGCGCCCGCTTCACACTGCACCCAGACAAATTCCTCTACGTCAACCTGGCCTTCCACATCCGCCGCGAACATCCGGTGGACCTGGCGTCCCTCCGCGACACCGGGGCCTTCAGCGACTGCACCCTTATCGCCAACGACGGCCGCTCGTTCCCCGCCCACCGCGCCATCTTGGCCGTCCAGTCGGCGTTCTTTATGGAAATGTTCCAGGCGCACGATGTCACTTTGCATACGCTGGTGGATGTCAGCGGGGATGTACTGGAGATTCTGCTGCGCTTCGCCTACGACCGGCAACTGGTGGATACTGACGGAAAACTGCGGGAGTTGTGGAGACTGGCTATTCGGTATCGGTGGACGGCGCTGCGGTGTGCTTGTGAGGCGAAAATGCTGGATGACGTGCATGCTGAAAACGCACGACGCTATTTGGAGTACGCGCAGGATAGCGAGCTGCAGGAAAAGGCAACGGGGTCGACGTTTGACGAGGCGGTGCAAGTTGTGAATGATGCATGCGAGCAGATTAAGGCTCTTTAGCCTCACGCACATAGATTCAGGAATATGAGTAAACGCATCAGCTTGATATATCAAGATGCATGTGTGCATGCTCTATCCAATGCGAAAGGACCGGTTAACAGTTAACCGTGCACGCAGCGACCATTCTATGCCGTTTTCACCAGGGTCCAGGACATGGCGAACCATACTTCACCGTTCTCTATGGTTAAGATGTTATTTCCTTTTGTACAGTTTATGATGACATTTGCGGACGCCGAACCTTCTCCTACCTTGTACGGTGGCTAGATACAGTAACACCTCGTCAATGTCGCCACGTACAGTATTTACTGGCCGCGACTCGCGGCCAGCGAGTATACATTATACCGAGTATCTACATTCCCAAGCTTACGGAAAGAATCAAAAGGTGCTGGTAACCATTGGCGCTACATGCGCGCAAAGAAAGTCAGCCGTCTATGTATTTCTGATCGTCTAGCCAAAAACGACGAAGCAGAAACTTTTCCACGCGTGCAGCAAAAGAAAGACTGGACGGTCGCAAGTCAAAACAGCAATTTTTTTGCGATCGTATCCGCGACGAAAATTAAGCTCATTTAAGGGATTTGGCCCGGTACATAGCACCAAGTTCGTGCACATCCAGGGGAACTTTCGCTGCTGCGCGCTCCCAAACACTTTTTTGCATTGCTTTATGGTATTTTGTAGCCAGAAGAACTGTTTACCTAAGTGAAAAAACCGTGTGCGCGAGCAACATCCGGTTGCGAAGTTATGAGGATATCAAAATTCCAAAAAGTTTAAATGCATTCAGGTGTACCAAAAGTCTCATTATGGACCGATCCCTTTTGAACTTTGCGCGTAAATGCACATAACCATGAAGATCGTTTTGACAGGGACCCAGACTTCTACGATTTTTTTCGAATTTTAAAATGAATTTTAAAATTTTTGAAATTCATTTTAAAATTTGAAAAACATGCTGGAACAGTGGATCCGTGTCAAAACAATCTTCATGGTTATGTGCATTTACGTGCAAAGTTCGAAGGGGATCGGTCAATAATGAGACTTTTGGTACACCAGAATGCATTTAAACTTTTTGGAATTTTGTTACCCTCATAACTCCGCAACCGGATGTTGCGCGCGAAAACGGATTTCACGCCTATGTACAACAATCATTTGGCCATACAATATCAAAAAGCGACCCAAAAAAGTGTTTAAAAGTGCGCGAAAGCGAATATTCCCGTCAATGTACACGCTTTTAGTGCTATATACCGGGCCAAATCCCTTAACAGTTCCGTTTCCGTGCCGGTTGTGGCAAATTGTAAAGAAAATTGAAGGTTTTGGAAACGGCCAAAAGGGGCCAGCAATAATTTTATGGTGTGCTATTTTTTTAATTTGTAAAATGGGGAGACAATTATTACACCTGAAATAAAAAGAAGCAACAGGAACACCTTAAACGCGTATAAATGGCCAGCACTGGATTCGAGAGGAGAACGGCTTGCTTGCGCAATATCCGCTAGTTTCTTACCCTGCATTAAATTTATGCATATCAAGGAACTATCAAGGAACTAGATCTATAATATAACTACAAAAAAAGCTGAGGCATCGAGATCGAAAAAACCAAAACCTAATAAAAAAACTGTAAACGCCATTAGATTCAGCATGTTCAGAAACTGTGTCACATGCATTTTATTTCTTAAAAAAATTATTTAAACCCGTCCCACCGATGCCGGTTTCGGCAGAACTGGCTTCGGTAAACCTTCAAGGTGACCTTGAGAATAACAGCAATGCCAGTTGCTTAGAACATTTATTAAAGTGCTAAGTATGTACTACAATAAATTTGTAGTTATTTTATTTGCAAACATGTTGAATTTTAATCGCCTGATTGCTGTTCAAATGTTCAATTTTTAAATGCCTAAAAAATCTGATTCCCTTGATTGAATTAGCCCAGGTTTCGAAGGAAACAAAAGCCAGTGAACAAAACCTAAGGCAGTGAGTGACCCAGCTACCGCCACTGTCCAGTGAACAAAGCGAAATCACTAGCTGAGTGATGACCGAGCAATAAATCACTACCCTAGGTGAACAAAATTACTAGATGGGTCAGTGACTGAGCTACCACCACTGTCCAGTGAACAAAATCGCTAGGTGAGTGAGTGACCGAGCTACCACCACTGTCCAGTGAGCAAAATCGCTAGGTGAGTGAGTGACCGAGCTACCACCAGTGTCCGGTGAACAAAATCGCTAGGTGAGTGAGTGACCGAGCTACCACAACTGTCCACTGAACAAAATCGCTAGGTGACACCGTTAGTGAGTGACTGAGCTACCACCACTGTCCGGTGAACAAAATCGCTAGGTGAGTGAGTGACCGAGCTACCACCGCTGTCCAGTGAACAAAGTTGCTAATTGAGTGAGGACCGAGCTAGACTCCTTGCCTAAGAAGTTCTACAATAAATGCTAAGGCAGTCAGTGAATTTACTAACGAATTACTGCAAATGGAATGATTTGTTCAAAGCGGCCGTGGATCACAAGAAACGCGGGGGCGAAGCCGCAGCGGTTTCTTGTACAGTAATATTTTATGCATACAATATTTTTTATGCATATAATATTTTGCGGTCGGTATTTTTTTCTGCTGAATCTTTTGCCGCTAGCTATCACGTCTTGTAGAAACGTTGTTCCGCAGTTATATAATTTTAAGACACCAATAATTTTCATTGAATTGTAAGATTCAATGCGGCTCTTCGTTCTGTTGTTAGTAAATGACAAATCGTCTTCAGTGAAACACTGCAAAATGCAAATACCATGAAAGCGACGAACAATGGGGCTAAAACTTTTATGCGCTTGCCGCGATATCATAGAGAGCAGGCTACACGAGATAAAAAGAAGTCACGAGAACAAAAGCCTCTGCCGGGAAATTACCCGGATCGCATTACAGGTCATTTGCCGGGTTAGCCTTTATCAAGAAGACAGACACAGGCAGGTCAGTGTCCACAAAGTTAAGACTCTCAAATTCAACCACACATCCAACGATATTTCATTCTAAAACTTTTTGGTCTTTCGCCACATACTGAATTACTACGTTGTATAATTCTTTTATTACGTCCATCGCTATCACTGCTATGGAGTACGCAATTACTACAGCTGCCGCTACGTCATCCAGAAATTCGACCAGCTTACTAGTGACATTTCAGTATTTTATCAGTAAACAGAAAATTGTCAGCAAAGTAACCGAGGCATGTTATCGTTACCGCGGCATTGTCCTGGCCTACACGACGGAACTGGCGGTGGAGAAGCCGGAAGATTATTCGGAAATACCGACATCTTCGTGGACGCTGACACTGCTGGTGAGTCGGCAGCAGGGTATTCACGCTGCGGAACTGGTATGTCGGAATGCTGATGGCGAGCCCTGCGGTCCTTTGGTGGAGTTCACTGTCAGGTAAAAGTCACCGGTTTTTCATCGGCAGTTTGAATGGTCGCTCGGCAGCCCGAGCCTCGGCGGATGTATTTGAAATTCAAACAGCAGTTCACTTCACGGACCGTGAGGGTGAATCTTATTTTCCTTTTGGGGAGGTTTTAGTAATCCTTAACTATCTCGTTTTATATACTGTATTTGTCGAAGTTACCAGGATTCGGAAAATTTTTGAGTCTCGTTTTCCGTGCATTATCAATTACTGGCAAAATTGAATGATAAACCTTGGAGTGCGATAACCGCTTTCATATGTACAGAGTAATTACCATCGAAGCAGTAAAGTCACTAACTAAGATGGACATTTTACGTAGCACTTCCCCCTTTTCCCAATTTTCTTAAAGGGAATCTGAAGAACCCTGAATTTTATGTACAAATTTGCATGTGTTTTCCCACAGTCCAACTGCCACTTCCGCTCCGGCTGTCTGCATCGCCTGGGAAGCGCCAGAAGACCACCGCGTCAGTATCAACGCAAATTATTACTGCTCCGAGTTTGTGCCGGGAAGTAGCAAACCCGCCAAGACGCTGCTTCCGGGTTACCTTTACGTCAGTCTAACCTACCGTCTTTCCCGTCCAGCTGTCGAACGCCGCTTGTTGCCCAGCACTGACACCTTTCCCGATTGCACCTTGCTCGCCAACGACGGACGCCGATTTGCCGTGCATCGTTGCATTGTTGCCACCCAGTCATCCGTCTTCCTCTCTATTTTCCAGGGTTCCCGCGTCCCCCTGAACCGGGAGCTGTATTTCGTAGATGTATGCGGTGACATTCTGGAAATGGTTGTCAAATTTTTATACACCCGGCAGATTGAAGGACATCAGCAGAAAGACATTCAAGAGTTATGGTGCGTCGCCAGCCAGTATGGCCTTCGCGACCTGAAACAGGGCTGTGAGGAGCGGTTGTTCAACGATGCCCAAGATTTCACAATCAATCGGCATTGTTGAATTTGTTCTGAATCATATGCGGCTTGAGTTTATAGAGAAAAGCGAGTTTGTTTGTTCTGAAATAATTATATACTTAACAGAATTTACTGCGACAGAACTTTTTTGGCTTTTTACTTTTTATTATATGCCAAAATGATCTGCTGCTTAAGTTAAAGCCGGGGCGAATTCTTAAGAATGTACAGCTCTTTTTTTGGAATTGACATCGAAATTTTCCCCGGATAGGTTTTTTTTGTTAGCTGATGCCACGGAAGAAATTAAATGCAAATGTAACCTAGCCACGGAAGCACTGATCAAGTTGTTAAATTTATTTACTTTTCCAGTTAAATAAATTCAGACAGTACAATTGCATATGGTTGTAATGCTGACGCAGCTCACTGGGTAGTATAACACATCAGGATAATAATGTTGAACAAAGGAATCTGCGTACGCCTAGTTTGAGCGTCCCACCTGCCGTAGGGGAACTGTTAAGACATAATATTCTAGTTTCAACGTGAACCGAACGTGCTTTCGGGCTCTGCGCTAACAATTGAGCCGTCTGCACAAAAAACTTTCTAACAAAATTTCCGAACGGCGTGAGCATAGTTTATGCTATCTTAAGGGATTAGGTTGATTATTAGCTAAAAGCCAGTTGAACCCGCTTCACGAGGTTATCCATCCCACTTCTCCACATCTTGACCACGTAGGCATGCAGTTTAATGACGGTGAGGCAGAAAAACACGGGATCCAGCAATGTTTGCAACTCGTACAGCGTTATGATGATCTGGTAAAAGGAAGTATGCTGAACAAGCGGGGAAGCCATATCCAGCAAAACATAGAATACGACACTGGGCATCCAGCAAACCAGCGTGCTCGCTGTATACAGTGTCATAAGGAGAAACGGATGACTGACAATCTTCACGGCGGCAACCGTCGCCGCATTCCCATTTCCCTGCCGATACGTATCGAGATTGTGCGCTTCCGGAGATCGGCCGGCCAGTACCGCTTTGCGACGTTTAATATGTTTCCACAACAGCAGTGGATAGAGCGCTGGGATACACACAGCTTGGGTGCATCAAATAGCCATACCCCGACGAATTTGTGCCAGGCCAACTGGGCGCGATTGTTCATCGCACAGCGCTCCTCGTTGGGCAGACGATAGTAAGCAGCATCCGCGATTATTCCTGGTAGAATTAATAGATGCACATACAGCACCATACCGCCACATAGCGACCACGCCACGGTCATCGTGTGACGGGTGCGGTATGACATGGGCCAGAAGATAGCCCAGACGCGGTTGATGCTGATCAGTACATGACAATGTATAGTGACGGCAGCGATGACGTATCCGTTGTAAATAAAGAGGCCGCATGCTGT